TGTGGAAGCTGCACTATAAAAGTGTCATCATGTAGATAAAACTTTTGAGACAACCTCTTGAAAGTTCTCTTGATAAAGCTCAAAGTTATGATAATCCTTTCATTTGATATTGCGCCTCATCATGTCATTAAGTCATCTCAGCGAGCTTTAGTGTAATGATTATTTTGCAGGCGAATGTGGCAGCCAGTTTGTACACAGCAGTGCGCCTCAAACCACCATTAACAGAATGACCAATTTTATCTGGGAAAATTGTCAGCCAGGATATTGGGAGAAACTTATTTCTCTTTTCAAGGTTACCACAGAAGATTAAATGGGCAAAATGTCCTTTCGTCTTACAAATGAAATTGGTGCATTCAATTCACAGCTCCACGGGGTAAACTCAGCAATAATACCTACCACTGCAGATGCAAATTACGTCGGAGAATTCAATAATATTCTCTTTAAGGCAGTGAAGTTGGATAGCAAGACAAAGACTGTATCTCAGCCGTGCAGGTTGGGCACAGGCTTTGAGCTGTGACCCTTCATGTAATGAATACTGTGTCTCAGCTTTATCCTCGGTTGGAGATTGCAGTGGAGGCCAGGAGAGGGGGAAACTACATTCCCTGCTTTGCTCACGTGCACCTTTCAGTAGCTAGAATGGCAGCGACCTGATGAGAGGTGGAGAATTAAGCAATTGACTCGCCTCCTCATCACCCGGGGCGATGTATCCACGGATCCCCAAAAAAGGAGAAAATCTAAAAAGCGCTCAACTCTGGTAGCATAAGTGTAAATAATAATCCTTAAATTTGGTATAGGACTATAGGAAGATATCTCAAAGCGCTTCACAGGATACTGTAAAATGTAGTGACTATTTTGCTCTGGCTTTTTGTAGGCAAGACATTCCTGTATTTTGACTTTTTAAAATAATTTGTGCGCAATTGGCTGCTGCGTTTCACCCCCAAAATACAGTCAATTCACTTTACAGTATATTCTGTGAAGAGCTTTGAGACGTCTCGAAGATGTGATAAGGTGCTATCTCAAATGCAAGGATTATTATTATTTTTGCTAAATGTAGCTATATTTGTCCTAGTTATTCTGTATCACAGTTTAGTGAAATTTACCATTGTGCATTTATAAATTATTTGGGAAGTCTTATAAATAAAATTACACTATAAATTTAAAATGTAATTCTATATAATGTAATTACAGTTATTAGAGTACAGTGACACATTTGTTAAACCCAGTGAATAGAGCAGCATAATTCCTCATGTCATTCATCATAGCACGCCTCTGTATACCTAGCAGTAAGTAGGAAGCCAGTTGTTAGTCGATTGGTGGATTGCTTTTCCGGGGGACATAATCTCTTAAAAAAACAATAATTGATCACTCAATCTACGACTATTTGTGGGACACTGCTGTGCGCAATTGGCTGCTGTCACTCCATTTTACAGTATATTTTGTGATGCACTTTGAGATGTCTCAAAGACATGATAAGGCACTATATCAAATGCAAGGATTATTATTATTATGTCTTAAATAAGGAGTGGACATGGCATGGAAGCAGGCCATTTTGCCCAACTAGTCCTTGCCGGCGTTGATTCTTTGTGTATTGATTCTAAATTTAAATCCCTCTGTTCTCAAAATATTTTGAAAAAGTAGGTTGGTTTGTCATAGTGTAGTTCTGTGCAAACAGTTTGTATAGTTCAAAGTCTGATATATTCTAAGTGATTTCAATGTGGTCTAAAGTTGTAATGTTCGCAAATTAATTATGACAATTTACAGTTATGATATTGAAAACCATTTAATTTGTAACATTTGCAAAAAATGTCTAATTGTGAATTTCAAAACATAGCAAGTCTGTTGAGCAAAACCGTGGCTATAAGTAGCCTGGTGGCATCGGATATATTGTACATATGGAAAGTTTGATTCCTAATTGCTACTGCGGAAATAATGGTAGCAGAGGAATACGAGTTCAGTGTTACGCAGCTTTGCTCACAGCCTTTGCTCTCGATTCGCTGCTCCTACTTTGTCAGCTATAATCAGAAAAATAAAACCTCTGGTTTTTAAATAGGCGCAATGGTTCTGACATCAGAGCAACACTTGCCCACTGAGACTTCACATCCACAACGTCACTACAATCTTTCACTCAGGCACTCTGGAAACAGAGTCTGCGGGAGATCTGACTCTCAAAAGATTCTGGGATAATGAGGTGTTGTGAATTTCAGCTGCTTTTCATTATGGGTTGGTGGCAGAAGCGGATTTACCTCTGCCTGACAACTGATAATATAAAAACTATTACCTGGTATCTGTAAGGTGTAATAATTGACCTTATGTCCTCGAACCAGTGAGAGGCAAAGCTGGTTTTCTGTAATGGACACATGTATCAACAGTATTGGGCTTTAATGGATACCTTCCCCTTTTCCTCTCACCCCCCACTAGTTAAATTGGCTGCTCACAACTCGATGTTTAAACTGTGACATGAAGAATGACTATTTGGTTGCCAAAGGGTAAGTGGAAAGAGAGCTCAGGTTCATTGATTGCTCACCATGTCCAAACAATGTGAGACAGCAATAAATAAGACAAACAGGATGCTGGGCTTTATTGCCAACTCAGCTATGTTCAATTCCCCAGTTGTTATGCTCAAGCTGTATGTGTACTGCATACTGTTCTGGTTACAGCAATATAAGGATACGGCCTAATGCCTAGAGGCTCTGTGGGAGAAAGTAATAAAACTGATAAGAGGGGTGAGAAATTACGAGATAGATTAAGATATTTTAGCATTGNAAAAAAGTGATCTCTGTGAGGACCTTAACAAAGTGTACAATATGTTCAGTGGGATTAAAAATTTACATCTAGAGCATTGCTTCATTAAGGGAGCAGGATAAGAGGGCACAGCTTTAGGACTATGAAGAGCAATGTCAGGACAGACATTATGCTTTAAGTTTGAAATTGTGTCTTGGGTTCTGTTGGAAGATGAATTTAGTGTGGGAAAGCTCACTCCCTTTGTGCAAAGGTTTGTGTTCATTCGATAGGAAGCAAATACTTTTGATGGCACAAGTAACCAGAATTCAGAAAACTTAGCTCACGCCTCATAAGCAACCTTGGGGCTTGCAACGAGTTGTGTATTCAGCAGCTGCAGCTTAGAATTAAGGGGATTCCAGGATTCAATGTTAGCATCAATATTGTGCCCAAAGATATCTTGGACCATTATCTACTGACAGAAGAAAAAGAAGGATTATACAGAAACATCCTCACTTACAATGGATCGAGTCAAATATACCACTCTGTTTTTCCTGTGCTCTATAGGTTCGTAAAACGAGTTCTCTAATAAATGATTTATAATTGCGTGTTTTTTCTATATTTTTCTGCAAAATACAACTTGTATTTTACTTTTAAACTATAAACTGTTGGATCTTGTTATGTTTGCCTTCACAAAAGATATGTTAGCATGGAGAGAGTGCAAACACTTCCAATGGCAATAGGTCTATTGCTCACCCAGGGTCACTGCTGGCTCCAGAGGGCAGAGCTTAGCCATGTAGCAGCGTTACATTTCAGGAAGAAAAAGTCAGTTTATGAGACTATTGCAGTCAAAATTGCACTCTTTTTAAAAAAAATCAAACAACAACTGTGGTTGGTTATAGTTAATTCTGAGTTTTAAGAGTTTATCAGTCTCAATTCTGAAAAATTCATGTTGTATTTGTTGAAATTTACACATGAATCCAATATCTTTTTTGTAATTCAGCCAGCAATCGTTCAGGCCAAAGCAATAACTGAGTTCATTTGATTCCAACTTATAACCCAAGCAAATGGAATTCCCATATACCAGACCTTATCTTATTTAGTCTTATTGTAGAGATGTTGTGAACCGTGCATAATGCTTAAATAGTTTCCTGAACCAAAAAGGAAAAGTGCTGTTATCAGATATTAATTCCTATTTCACTAACTGAACTACTGAGATATTTAGAGGTTTTATTTCAAAGTTTTCTGCATGTTATTGGTAAATAGTACCTTTGAATTAGCACTTTAGGAACAAGAGCAGACTGCTTGGCCTGCCATTTTCTTAGATCAGGGCTGACCTGTAACTCGGCACCATTTGCCTATTCTTCCCTCCATAAACCCCTGACACCTAACTAGCCACATATTTATCAATTTCCCTTTTAAACACTCACTGACTCTGTCAGCATTCCTTTGAGGAAGTGAATTCCACAATCCCACAACTCTGAGTAGAAGCAAATGAAGCTAATCTAGCACTGTAACTTTACACAGAGCAAAAAAAATACTTGTTTTTAACTGCCTCTGGCCCAGAGCAAACTCCCTACTTCTTTTCATGATCTTTAAAGCCATGTGAACAGACAGACAGAGACTCAATTTAATGGCTGAATTGCTGCATTATTGAAGAAGTCTGCACTACCGGAGCTATGGGTTAGGGAGGGGAACATCTCTATGTTGGAAAATGCTTATATGAGACATTGACTGGGAATGAGATAATACTCAGCTCTGATTACCCCCATAGTGCATAGTCTGCCAACACTCACTATCAAAGCTCATATCTGGATAGGACTAGGTATTGAAGCGCACCCCAATAGAGGGAAAATGGGGTCAAATACATTAAGGAGAGGGAGGGAGAAAATTGGCAGAAAATGGGAAATTCCACGCTAATTATCTACATTTATGTTGATGGCTTTGTATGCATCAATGCTTGGTTGATAGGGAATGTTCCTTATTACCAGGATAAATAACATTAGTCCTTTGTGTATGTTGTTTGCTAAAAAATTATAGAAGAGTTATACAGTGTCATCTTCAAAACATCTCAAAATGCTTCATAGGATTTTACTGTAGATTGTGATTAGACATTGTTTGATTTTACCGTTATTAATTATAACTGCAGCCTTCAGGGTTTACATAGCCTATCCAACATACCTTTCAATTTCACACTGGATTTCACGTTTGAAGCTGGCTTGTTAATACCTCTGCCTGCCTGAGGCACAGTACCTAACCTCACAATATTGTTTGTTTTGTAGATCCAATCCCTCAACAGCGACCGAAAATATCTCAGGCATTTTTAGTACCAAAAAAAAGCCACGTGCTGCCACCACCACTGCAGCAAACTGATCCAGCACAGCACAAAGGAGAGCAAGATACACCAGATTCCCTTACCAAGTACTACAATGTTTTATGGTGTAAGGCATCAAAGAAGAAACACAAGAAATGGGAGGGAGATGCCATTTTGATTACCCGAAGGAAGTCTGTGATCCTCAAGGACATGGAGGGCAGAGACATTGGAAAAGGTCAGCCATCCTTATCGTTTAATTCATTTCAAACTGTGTGCTATTGGGTGATTTAGTTACATAGATTTTCAGATTCAATCCTTCCCCTTCTAATAATGAAACCTCAGAAATCTAAATCTCATAGAGCAGAGAATAATTTTTTGGGATCAGCCGGGTATCTGACATATGCATCGGACACATGCAGAAACCCACGACCATACTTAGGGCTATCCAAACCAAACTGAGAATAATACGAACGAAAGATTCATGAATTGGCTATATTCATTGTCAAACAATGAAATATTTAACTGAACCTGGAAGTTGCATTTAACAGTCTTTAAGCTCTTGTTATGTGAAAAAGTGTCCTTACTCCACACTTCTCTGTTCACCCAGCAGTAAGTAGGAACCCGGTTGTTAGTCAATTGCCTGCAGATCACTTTCCAGGGGAAATAATCCCTTAATAAATAATAATAATATGGTCACTCAATCCACGACTGTTTGTGGATTGAGTGACGCACAAAAATATACAGTCAATTCACTTTGCAGTATATTCTGTGAAGTGCTTTCAGACATCTCAATGGCTTGATAAGGCACTATCACAAATGCAAGGATTATTTGTATTATGTATTGTACCTTTAAAAGAGCCAATAAATAAAAACATTGCTTTACAACTTCTACAGCACAGATTTGTACTTCACAAAAAAAATGCTGGTTGCGTTCCATGTAATTACAGGAATTCCAATTTGTGTGCGGCAGGTTGAAGGAATATACAATTGCTGCATTCTTGAAAAACTCTTTAACAATTTGCAAATGTTCTTGCACTTATCAAGATATTTCATTCATCCTTGAAACCCCGTGGAGATCGCATTCCACTCAGGCCAGAATGACCCCAATGGAACGCGATTCTCCAAGGATTTATACCAAAGGCTGCTCCATGTTAATTCATCCATTGAGAGGGATTAAAGGATCTGCCCCTGACCCAAGCACTGAGTTTCCATTACCGGTCTTACAGCCGCAGGCAGATCAAAGGTCAAGTAATATGTGCAGCATGTAAGAGAGATGGGGGCAGCTGTGCCTCATGACAAATACCTGTTTACAGCTGTCTTTTCTTCCCGCTTTCTGCCTTGGTCTTAACACACTCAGGAAGTTAGGGAGTGAGACTCAGTGTCTCAGCCCCTATACTTTCCAGTGCCCTTATCTTTTGGCATCATACCGATTCTCACCAAATAATTGTTTCCACCTATTATTTACAGATTTTCCTGCTTTGTATATTTCCAGTTTAAATTGTCTGGTTTTCATTTTTTTAAAATATACAATCGCTTCATGGAGTTACTAGCCACTCCCTTGAACAAAATTCTTCAAATTTCCAGCCATCAAATGCTGTCAGATGTGTCTCATTGTCTCTTTCAGTATTCTCTACTTGGCTGCACAGTCAGCCACTAATTCCTTTGCATCCCATTCCGGACCCCCTAATTTAGATGCACCACTGAAGCTGAATAGCTAGAATTAAAAGGTTCTGTGATCTCCTATCCTTTCCCTTTAGCCTCTTCCCACTTCTCCTTTGTCTCCCTTTCTTTCCCACCCTTACTCACCTCCTCTCGCTCTTTCTCTCCTCCCTCACCCCCTCTCCTTCGCCTTTCCCCCTTTCATTTGCCTTTCCCTCTCCCCTTCTCTCCTCCCCTTCCTCCTTCCGCCTCTCACTCTCTCCCCCCCCCCCCCCCCCCCCCCCCGCTCCACTGGAAGAATAGAAGCTCCCACATATCTTCAAGTCCAGCAATAAATGAGATAGCCTCTTAAAGTGTTGAGCTGTTTATAAATCATCAGTTTTACAACTATAGTGTGCTGAAAATTCACCAGCTATAAAATGGGGTACGTGAAGGAAGTGGAATGAGTGCAGTTCATCCTGATGCTGCAGGAAGGGTTGATTCCTCAATTCAATTAAAACCTGATCTGCAAATTAATTAATAATAATATTCCTTGCATTTGATATAGTGCCTTATAATGCCTTCAAGACATCTGAAAGCGCTTCACAGAATATATTATAAAGTGAATTGACTGTATGTTTTGTGGGCAAAACGCGGCAGCATTTTCATAACAAGCGTGGCCAATATGTTTTTCAGCTTTGTAAAGGGCTATTTTGGCCTTGGTGAGAAAACTGGGCTCAATCCTGCCAGTGGTTCTGGGTGGGGAGGGGATTTTACAGTTGAGCCAAGCAGTTGTGCTATCATTCAATTACTGGTGAGAATATGGCCATTTTGCTACTGATTGATTGTAAAATCAGGCAAAACATGTTTTCAGCTGATAATTTCAGCTCCAACCAAGCTCTGCAGAGCTTGAAGACCAACACAACAACAGCTTGCACTTATATAGAGCCCTCCACGCAGGGTAGCGTCTCAGAGCGCTTAACAGTGGCGGAGCCTGACTCCAAGCCAGGGGGAGTGGGGAGTTGGCCATAAGCATGGTCGAGGAGGAACGCTTTCAGGCATGTCTCGAAAGAAGGTATAAGGAGGGCAAGGCGAAGGGATTCAGGGAGAGTGTTCCAGAGTTTTTGGTAAGTAGTGACTGAAAGCGCAACCTCTGATGGTAGGGCGGAGGATGCAAGGGACGAGTAGGAGACTGGTGCCAGTCGAGCGGAGGCTCTGGGTGGTGGATTGTCGGAGAGGTAGGGAGGTGCCAGGGAGTGAATGGATTTGAACACTAGTGTGAGGATCTTGAAGCGATCCATTTGGTGATGGGGAGCCAGTGGGGCCTGGCCAGAACGTGGAGTCCTGTAGCTCAGTGGTTAGAGCACTCGCTTTGCAAGTGAGAGAACTGAGTTCAATTCCAGACAGGGCGAAACCTTGGGCAAGTTTTCTTACTCCACACGCCTAATAATAATCCCTCCAAAAAATCCAAAAACAATAATAAATTGGTCATTTTCAATCTACGACTGTTTGTGGGACATTGCTGTGCGCAATTGGCTGCCGCGTTCGCCCACAAATATACAGTGAATTCACTTTACAGTCTATTCTGTGAAGCGCTTTGGGACGTCCTCCCGACGTGAAAAGCGCTATATCAAATGCAAGGATTATTATTATTATTATTAACTGGTGAGATGTGGTTACGGAGATTGGTCCGAGTCAGTATGCAGGCAGCAGAGGTTTGAATGAGCTGGATCTTGTGAATGGTAGAGCTGGGGAGACCGGCGAGGAGTGCGTTGGAGTAATCCAAGCAGGAGGTGACAAACGCATGCACAAGGATTTTGGCTGCATTTGGGCTAAGGGACGGTCGGAGGTGGGCAATGTTGCGGAAATGGAAGAAGACTGTCTTGGTCAGGGACTGGATGTGGTGGAGGAAGGACAGCTGGGGGTCAAACTGGACGCCTAGGCTGCGCACTGGTTCAGTGAGTCTGAAGGAAAGCCCAGGGAGGTTGAGGAGTTCAGATCCACAAGAGTGAAGACGTTGACAGGAGCCAAGAAGTATGGCTTCCGTCTTGTCCATATTCAGCTGCAGGATGTTTACACTCATCCAGGCCCTGATGTCTGACAGACAAGCTGATAGAACATCAGTGGACCTGGAGTTGGTACTGGAGGAGGCAAAGTAGATTTGTGTGTCATTCACATACAGTAAAAGCTGCGAGTCTGTCTGTAACATCACCTTCTCCCCCAATATTGCACTGGAGTGTCAGCCTAGACTATGAGCTCAAACACCTGCTATGGAGCTTGAACCCCAATTTTTTGACTCAAAGTTGAGAATGCTACTGACTGAGCCAGTCTGACACCTACAGCAGACAGTTGATAGTTTTTATTCGCTAGATAGTAAAGTGGCAGGACATTTAGACTGATTTTTTCCTCCCCTATCCCAGGCCAATTTAAGCCAATTATAACTGAGGCAAATTGAATGTCCCAATTAAATTAGCACAGAATTACTTAAATTTCATCGGCTGGCATTTTGACAAGGAATTGAGGATGAGGAAAAGATTTATAGCCTTGGTTTAGGAATCTAGGTACAGGAAGAGTTCAAATAGCCCATCAAACCTTTTCTAGCCCACAGATCCCTGAGGAGTCTTCTCATTGATTGGGCCTTTGGCCACCTCGTCTCCCTCATAGCTCTGGCTCCCACTCTGCCTTTGTGAAACACTACAACTTACCTCTTATATATGTGCAAATAGCTGCTATTGGAGCAAATTTGGCTCACAATTAAGTCTTTGGGCAGATTAGACACAGCACAGAGGAAGAATGAAGGTACTCGGAAATCTACCTGTACAACCATCAAGATTTTCTTTCAGTATTTAGACACCATCTGCACTTTGGAGGAATGTAAGGTCTTCGTATTTGTGTAACACAATTGCATTAGTACAGGGGGCTCTGCCTGCCTACACTACAATGGTTCTTGGTGTCCTGAACAAAGAACATGACCCCTATGTTGTTGAATGCAATTTGCTTTTACAGCTGCTGAAGCTTATCCTAAGAATGTATACGTAAGGATGGATGAAACATGATAGTGACCCCTGCTTCAACATATCTGCTCAAGGTTAGCTGAGCTGCAGATGGTACCTGGGTGTACTACACGGATTTGGTATCTCCAGGAACACTGGCCCAGCAATGGCCATAGAATCTGCAGGTATCTCCTAAATCACTGGATTTCAGCACACATTTCTCGTGGAACCATTTAAATATTCAACGACTAAGTGATGCCCAGGAGATGTGGACTTCCCACGGAATCAAAGTTCCAAAAAGACTATTCCAAAAGAGAAGGGTGTTTCTCCCAGTATCCTGGCCAACAATTACCCCAATAAAAATGGACATTTATTTCATGGCCGTTTTGTGGGACATTGCTGTGCAAAAACTGGCTGCCGCATTCGGCTATAAATTACACGGATTTCCTGACGTGAAAGGTGCTTTACGAAAAGCCAGAATCATTTTATTTACTTGGTCTGTCAACTAGTGCCCCCTTAGCTGCCAAAGCACCATAGAAATTCACAAAACAGGGGGCCTTTGCTGGCTCTCTCAATGAGCTTTCTATTTAGTTCCATTATACTGCCCTTTCTCTATATCCTTTTATATTTCTTTTCAGATATTTATCTAATTCCTTCTTAAAAGCTAATATGAATTTTGTCTCAACCTCGGGACCAAGCAAATCTTACCAAACATTTGTATAAAAAGAATTCTCCTAACCCCACCTTACTGTTCTTGTAATTACCTTAAATCTATAAAACAGTGCCATTTTTTCCAGTAAAACCATCCCTGATATCATCCTCGTGAATTTTCTCTGCACTCTGGCTTTGACATCTGTCCCATAGTGAGGTGCCCAATTCTGACTGTAGTCCTGTAGCTCAGTTGTTAAAGCATTCGCTTCGCAAATGAGAGAACCTGGATTTGATTCCTGGCAGGACGAAATGTTGGGCATATTTCCTTACTCGACACGCCTCTGTTTACCTAGCAGTAAGTAGGAACCCGGTTGATAGTCGATTGGCGGATCGCTTTTCTGTGGATAATAATCCCTTCAAGAATAATAATAATACGAATTTGGTCACTCAATCCACAACTGTTTTTGGGACACTGCTGTGCACAATTGACTGCCACGTTTCGCCCACAAAAGTCAATTCACTTTACAGTATATTCTGTGAAGGGCTTTAGACGTCATGGAGACATGATAAGGTGCTATATCAAATGCAAGGATTATTATTATTATTCCAACAGTGGCCTAACTAATAATTTATATGGCCTAGCATTGCCTCTTCACATTTGTATTACTGTATTTATAAAATCAAAGAGCCTTTTTTTTATAGCTTTACTTGCCCTCTCACCTTTATACCTGGCAGGTTTTCACCTTCCTTCCTCAACACAGTGTAAGACTTGACTTTTAGTAATCTTAATTGGCCACTTAATACTCAGTTTTTTAAAAAAAAAGTAGTTTAACAGCTCCAGGAAGAATACAAATTAAGGTTGCACCACAGTGTAAACTGCTTCTTATTCTCCATGCTCAATTTACTTTCCAATTCACATAGCATAAACTTTAGACCGAGGCTGCAATGGACCACCTAGTTTACCAAACAAGGGCTCATTTGTCAGCCTGGTTCAGCTGATAGGATTCTCATCTCTGAGTCAGGAGATTGTGGGTTCAAGCTCCATGACAAGATTTTGAGCTGACACCCAGTGCAATGCTGGGGAGCACAGTATTGCTTTGAGACATCTGAATGGTGTGATAAGGCCCTATATGAAAATCCAAGGATTACTATTATTATTTGTGAAAATAAACGGGTAGGATTGAGTTTTGCTCTGTTTTTTTAAATGATAGCGGAACGGAACAAGAAAAGAAAAAAGAATGAAAGAAACTGAACGAGAGCAGTTGATGTAAATGGAAATAAAATATTGAATTGAGAGCGAGAATGCTGCAGAAATGAAAAGAATTAACTCTTAGAGCTGTTCAAGTGATTATGGTGCTGGATAGTAATTTAACATTATCATAGAATTATACAGCACAGGAGGGTGCCATTCGGCCCATCGTGCCCATGACGGCTCTTGAAAGAGCTATCCAAATTAATCCCACTCCCCCGCTCTCTTCCCATAACCTTGCAAATTTGTCCTGATAAATATCTATCCACTTCTCTTTTGAAAGTTGTTATCGAATCTGCTTCCACCACCCTTTCAGGCAATGCATTCCAGATCCGAACAGCTCGCTGTGTGAAAAAGAAAAAAAAAGTAATTATATTGAGCAATATAGAGTGATACGGCATGAAAACAGGCCAGTGTTTATACCTCACCTGAGCCCTCATCCCTCCTATTCCCCTCACCCATATCCTTCAATTCCCTTTGCCCTCAACATAAGTTTCAAATACATTGATGCTATTTATTTCAAGCACAGCTTCAGTCAAGTTCCATAGAAAAGGCCTTGACTTCTGTTCAGATTTAAACAATGTGCTTAAGTGGAGCTGCATATCATCATTTTGGTGATTTTGAAAGGATCAGTTAAAACCAAAACAAAGCTATTCTGAACGAATAGTTAAACAGAGCTCCCAGCTCCTTCCTCAGTCTTTCACCAATGTGTACTACTGTGTCAATGTGTGCTGTTATAACATTTTCCCAATGTATGGCTTCAAATTCCCACCAATCTATGGGTCAATTTTTAAAAAAATTCAATTCTGATGTGGAAGATTTTTTTTACAGTTTTTAAAAAGGAACAGCTTCCAAATGAATACTAAATTTAATAATTTTCCACATAATAAGTGGAAATAAGATTCTGCACAATCTTACATTTTTAGACACATTGATCTCATGGTCTGGATGTAATTTAAGACCTATAGTGTTTGGCTCCATATGGTGCTATCTTAGATTAACATAGAATGTCACAAGGGTCAGCATTCTGCCCCTGATCAGTGACTAGTGATCCTTTCTAGAAAGTGCACGTAATAATAATAATAATCCTTGCATTTGATATTGCGCCTTATCACGTCTTTGAGACGTCTAAAGCGCTTCACAAAATATACTATAAAGTGAATTGACTATATATTTTGTGGACGAAACGCGGCACCCAATTGCGCACAGCAGTGTCCCACAAACAGGAGTGGATTGAGTGACCAAATACTTCTTATTATTTTTGAAAGGATTATTATCCCTAGAACAGCGATCCGCCAATCGACGAACAACCGGGTTCCTACTTATTGCTAGGTAAACAGAGGAGTGTAGAGTAAGGAAACTTGCCCAGCGTTTCGCCCTGTGGGAAATGAAACTGACCATGTGGAACTTCGGGCCTCTGATGTCCACATTCAGGAGTCGTGTAGCCCAGTGGTTAGAGCGCTTGTGAAGCGAGTGCACTTATTAACTGCTGCTTTTGCCTACAAAATACACAGCAACTAAGCTTTACAATATGAATTCTTTGAGATATTCTCCCCAAATAAATATCAAATGTAAGTATTATTTATTATTAAAACTGACGTAAGACTGTTCCAAACCTTCACATGGTCTTATATTTTGTAGCCTAAGAAGATGAAGGGGAATTCTGGCTTCTGATGAGACAAGATCAGACTTGGCTGTTATGCTCCCCAAGGTGGAATGGTCTGGTGAGAACATGAACGATAGTTTCTTTAGTGAGATACCATAGGGCAGACGATCGTCGTGGAACCTTACCCCACCTATCAGCTCCTTCAGAAGAGGAAGGAGGAAACAAATTTTTTTCTTGAGCTTTACTTATATTTGTTATGATCCATTTTTCTAGCAGCAGGATACAAAACAAAAGAACTGGAAACCCTTTGCGAAGGCCAGACCTTGATGATTGGCGGGAAGGAGATAGAGATCATGGGGCTGGTCTCTGCGGAGGACTTTTTGAGGGGCCGGTGTTTTCACGCTAGTGCTTCGTCAGAACCAGTACATCCAACCCCCTCACAGCGACCTGTCCTGAAACCATTTTCTAACCCATTGAAGAACGGTGCTGGGCCCAGTCAAACAGAAAATGTTAAAAAAGCCATGTGGGATTGCAAGACTCGACATGATCCCAATGCACCAAGTAAGGAGCTTAACTTGGGAGTGTTCTTTGCAACTGTGCGCTTGCTTGTTTTGATATTTCAGAGATTCCAAACAGGTCTTTATCAACGTTGTAATTGGCTGTGAATCATTAAAACTTACAGACGGAATGTCTCTATAGATTATTTAATTTTGCCTAAATGTATGTCACGTAGTCCAAACTTTCGGCCTCCACTGTGCCCCAACCTCTGAAACTTATAATAATAACCCTTGCATTTGATATAGCATCTGATATAAACATCTCAAAGCACTTCCCAGGGTATACTGTAAAGTGGATTAATTACATTTTGTGGGTGAAACTTTTATAATCTCTTCACCTTAAGCCTTCTGTTATTGCCTTTCAAATTCTCTTTTTTTTTGACTTCAGCCAACATCCCCAACCTTTCCTCCCCCCTTTCCCAGTCTGCTCAGTGATCCTCTTCATCTTTGTAAAGTGCTTTGAGACATTACCCACCATGACAAAAATGATAATCTTTACAATTGATATAACACCAGTATACATTTTTGTAGGCTTTTCAGCCTATCAAGCCGGCTCTTGTATTTTATGCAATAGTTTTGCTTGGAGAAGTGGGTGATAAGGGAAGGGAGTTTCTGCTGGTCTCCTGGCCAACAATCCCCGAAAAAAAAATTGGTCATTTACTTCATAGCTGTTGGTGGGAATATAGCTCTGAGCAAATTGGTTGCCATGTTCGCCTATAAAATAAACAGTCACTACAATGACAACAAATAAATTACATTTGTAAAGGTTGGAGCCTGCTGAACAGAGGGAGCGGACCGGTTGATAGGGGGTCAGCAGGTCAGAGATGTAGGAGGTGGCAAGGCCATAGAGGGCCTTGAAAGTGAGGACGACAATTTTGAATTCTATCTGAAGGATGGGGAGCCAGTGGAGCCGGGTGAGGGTGGGTGTGATGGGGTCATGGAGCCTGGTGTGGGAGAGGACACAAGCTGCAGAGTTCTGGATGATCTACAGCTTGTGGAGGGAAGAGTTGGGAAGGCCAACAAGGAGGGAGTTTCCATAGTCGAGCCTTGAGGTACTGAATGCATGTATGAGGGTTTCAGCGGCCTGAAGGGTGAGGCAGTGGCGAAGTCGGGCAATGTTGCGGAGGTGGGGGTAGACAGAGCGGGTCATGGCACGGATATGGGGGAGAAAGGACAGTTGAGGATCGAACAAGACACCCAGGTTCCTGACTGGCTTGGTGAGGTGTGCATCCGGATTCTGCTGCTGCCAGTACCTGATGTGCGGAGGTACTGGCAAATAGATGTAAGATTACTGCTTTAAAGTACAGTATTTGCTTTCCCAACAGATGCTTTAGTAATGCCACGGCCAAACCTAAGTCACCAGTGGATTCACAATAAAGCTACTCTCCCACTGGTGGATGTGGTGGTGGATCCTTACCTTTGTGCGCACCTCCGGCCTCACCAGCGAGTTGGTGTGATCTTCCTGTATGAGTGTGTGATGGGGATGAGGTAAGTCAGGACTGACTTGGCTTGACAATTCAGTTCATTTAGATCTTTTAGCCAATTAGGTAATGTAACACATTTGCATTCAATCCAGCAGAACTGATCTATCAAATAGTTAGTTTATAGATACTTGATGTCTAACTGTCAGAAAAGGAGCAGCACTTTTATTACGTGAAACAAGTACATCTTTTAGGCCACGTTTCATATAAAGCCACAGACTTACTTGGACTTGTGTGAATGTTCAGGGAGCCGCTTCTTGACAGCCACTTCTCGCCTAAACTAGATGAATTCCAAGCCTCAAAGTGAGGCTTGAACCCACATCTTTCTAGGTGAGAGTGCCACCAACTGAGGCAGAGGTGATGCATATTTCTGTAAATCTCTTAATGTTTATAGTTACCAAGTACCGATCTGGTTTCTCTGGGGTCCTGACCAATATCCTTCAGATTCACCTCTTTTTTTCTGGACAACCAGGTGTCTAATACATGTGGAAACCCATCACCATGCTTAAGAGTATCCAAACCAAACTGAGAATGCATCCTACCTACATCTGAAGGGACGCATCCTGCTTTACCTAGTTCCAGAAAGTATTAGGTGTAGGTTAGCATGAACCAAGGCTTGGGGACCCCAGAGTGTGCGTTATGGTACGGCTGGAGTCTAACCAGCTGAAACAGCACAGCTTGACATTGATATTGCTGTCTGGTAAGCTTTCCATTATCTCCAGCTAGTGTTAACAGGAGCTGAGTGGGCAGATTCGCTGCTCCCAGTGACCGGTCTGCCCTTCCAGGTCCTGCCAATGAGCCAGGCTGGCTGTGCTGCCATCAACAGGGCCCTGGAATACTGGCTCAGGAACTGGACTACCAAAACTGGCGCAGGTCTGGCTCGATTCTGACATTCCATTGTCAAACGTGTCACCTTGGAGCCAGTTCAGCTCATGAGGCAATGCCTTTACCTACGAGGCATTCTTTTTACTGATTGACTAGTGCAAATTTCCAGCATTTTCTTAATATTAATATTGAAATGTAACAACTTTATAGATGCTATCGTTGGGTGCATTTTGTAATCTAACAACACAATATTTATCGATAATTCAGAGCAAATGGCAGGTTTGGTGCCATCTTAGCCGATGAAATGGGTCTGGGGAAGACCTTGCAGTGCATCACTCTACTTTGGACCCTCATGCGGCAAGGGCCGTATGGTAACAAACCCATCTTCAAGAGGTCACTGGTGATAACCCCGGGGAGTCTGGTGAAAAACTGGAACAAAGAGTTCCAGAAATGGCTCGGAACAGAGAGGCTGAAGGTTTTTGCAGTAGATCAGGTAGTTTAACAGCTAAAAATTCACTGATTTCCCATTTCTTTTATAAAATGTTGAGCAGTATGAATGTGAACAAGAACAGTAATTATATAATAACCAGATCATGTTTCAATTTTAAAACAGTCCTAAATTTATAACAATAATAATCTTTGCATTTGCTATAGCACCTTTAACACTGGGAGGACATCTCAAAGTGCTTCACAGGGCTTACTGTAAAATATAGTGACTATATATTTTGTACAATCTAGCCTTTCAAAAACTATTTTAACGTGATTTAGAAGTTGGTGCAGTAACTTGTTACCTTTCAGCGCTCATGATAAATAAAATACTGTGTTCTTTACTGTTGCTCATTTCTCCCTGTGTTTTATTGTACATTTGCTTTAAAGGATCACAAAGTTGAAGACTTCATCAGTTCTCCTCTCTATTCCGTCCTCATCATCAGCTACGAGATGTTACTGCGATGCTTGGAACAACTTCAAAACCTGGAATTCAGCCTAATAATTTGTGATGAAGGACATCGTTTAAAAAATAGCTCAATTAAGACATCCACAGCCATCCTTACACTCCCTTGTGAGAAGAGGGTGATCCTTACTGGTAAGTGTAAAATCACTGGATTATAACCAGAAAACTGTATCTTCATTATTGAGGGTTTTTTTTAATGTTACTCCTTTAACCTGCACAACCCTATTACTATTCCAGATGAAACATAATCACAATTCATATAAAGCAGGGTTTCTGCCAGGAATGTATCAGTAAAATAAAATTCACTTCATGGCTGTTTGTGGGACATTGTGTGCTGTGTTCACCTACCCAAAAAGCCCAGTCAGTGCACTTTACAGTGTGTCCTGTAAAGTGCTTTGAGACATCCTCCTGATGTGATAGGTGCTGTATTAAATGCAAGGATTATTTTTATTTTAAATCCGAGCCTAGGATTTACATGAGCTGTGTGCTTGAAAGTGGTATTGTCAATGATTTTTCTGTCTTGTGGTTGCTTGCTGCCCCCTATTCTCCCATGCTAATGTCTGTGCCATCATTGTTAGCAGTGAGATGAGTATTCCATCTGAAAATGGTAACAAATAAGTCTAGAACTCATAGTAAGAAATTCATTTTCATTTAAACTAGATTTGGAGGAGGAAAGGAAACGGAGTCGTTGATAAAGAGTTCAAACCTCTTGATTATCAGGAAGAGATGGGAAGGATTGAATTTAAGAATAAATAGGAAAACAAAAATAGAAAAATATCTAAATGAAGAGCAGTAAGGACTCCAAAAGCCCTAAATAACAAGTGCAGGCAACCAGACAATCCAGATTACTCGGTCATTTTAGAAATAGCTTGATGCTGTGATGAGAGGATAGTAGGGTAGGTATTCTGGAGGGGTGAAATCAAAAGTGCAGAAGGGCCTTTTTCATCCGAACCAATCTTGTATGTTTCAGGATGACGCAAGCAGCAAGTTGTGTGAGACCACTGAATATTGTAAATACATTGTGGGATGAGTGTGGTCAGCAGGTGACTGTTGATGAAAGAATCAGATAAATCTAAGCAAGATACATTAAGGCTATTATATAAATGATTAAATAATGAATTTCAAGCACAGGATAAAACACCTGCAGAGAGGCGGAGAGACTGTACTCACTTTGCTTTGAGGTCTATTCATAGCTTTTAGCAAGTGGCTCTGAGTAGTTTTTATCACGTCTTTATAATGGGATTTCGTATTATAAGGATGTAATGAAGAGTAGAATTCTCTCTGTTTTAAGAACTGCTGTTTCATGTTCTCATGGCATGCAATGGTGAAACTGTTAGATGCCCCAATTAAAAAGAGTCCCTAGTGCTGTTGGCATTGCAGACTCCATGACCGCAGCAAGTTGTCCGAATACCTCATGACTGTTTGGGACGCTGTGAAAGCGCTCTGGCATTGTCAACACCAGAACGTCCTCTCAGTTACAGGAGCTTTTTTGCAGGTTGTCAGCATCTTATGCTAAATGACCCAGAACATTAAGATGAACAAAAGGAGTGTGAAACTTTCATGAGTCGGTTGTTTGGTTTCTTTGTATTGTTGCAAATATTTGCTCTATTCTGAATTATATTTACATTTTCTTAATACAACACCCCCTCTATATCTTGTGTATAGGTACCCCAATACAAAATGATCTTCAGGAGTTCTACTCTATAGTAGAATTTGTGAATCCAGGAATACTTGGATCTGCTTGCATTTACAGGAAGATCTATGAGGAGCCCATCATCAGGTCCCAACAACCGTCTGCAACAACGGTAGGCCGTGTTAAATGTTTTAGTAAGAATAATGTACTTATATAGTGCCTTTCATTTAAAATTAATGACACACAGCATTTCACAGAGACAATAGGGAAAACAAAACAAAGAGGAAGGAGAATTTATGGGAGTTAAGTAATGGTTTTAACATCAACAACAACAAAATTACATTTGTAAAGCGCCTTTCACGTTAGAAGGATGTCGCAAGGTGCTGGACAGTCAGTGTTTCAGACCCAAGTTGGGGGTCGGGATTGGGGAGGCTGGAGGGTAGGGGGGAAGGAGGATGATCGAAAGCACGGTCGAAGAGGAGGGTCTTGAGATGGGTCTTGAAGGAGGCAAGGGAGGGGGCAAGGCGGAGGGACTGCAGGATGGAGTTCCAGAGGGTGGGGGCAGAGTGGCAGAAGGCCGCCCCACCGATGGTGGGGTGAGTGAAGTGGGAGGACGTGAAGCAGGCTGGAGCCCACTGACCGGAGGGATCGGGCAGAATGGCAGGGGCTGAGGAGATTGCAGAGGTAGTTGGGAGCAAGGCTATGGAAGGCTTTGAAGGTGAGGACCAGGATCTTGAACTGTATCCTCTGTGTGATGGAAAGCCAGAGGAATCGGGCAAGGATGGGGGTGATCGGGTCCCAGAGCCAGGTGTGGGAGAGGACATGGGTTGCAGAGGTCTGGATGATCTGGTAGGAAAGAAGGGAGGATATGTTGAAAAACTACAATACAACAACTTGCATTTATATAGGCCTTTCATGCGGGGTAGCGTCCCAAAGCGCTTAACACTAAAAAGGAGCGTCAGCTTCAATTGCTAACAAAAAAAACTCTGCTCTTATTAATTGTGGTTCCATTTTCAGAGTTTACCCACTTTCACTGTAGAGTGTGGCAAAAGCCAGGATTGAAGGGCCTTTACACGCATTGCGTGTTCAGGACATCCAGTTGTTAAAATTTTCAGTCAAAAATTCAAAGAGATTCCTTAAAGCTGGGGAATAAGCAGTAATACGGTGATTTAAGAACATATTTCCCTGCAGCGCAACAGACATTCCAACATTTGCTTTACTTCCACTGCTTTTGTCTTTAGGAGGAAAAGCAGTTGGGTGAAGAAAGAGCAGCAGAGCTTTACCGTTTAACTGGGCTCTTCATACTCCGACGCACACAGGACATCATTAACAATTACCTCCCTTCAAAGACCGAGTGGATTATCTTCTGCCGCCCAGTAGCTCTGCAGCTTGAAGTGTATCACAAACTCTTGGCTACCCGTGCAGTCAAATCCTGCCTGCAGGGAAAGCTGGAGAACAGTTCCCACTTAGTGTGCATTGGATTCTTGAAAAAACTCTGCAATCATCCTTCACTTCTCTTCAATACAATAAAGGTATGTGTTTAAAGTACATTCAGGAGGTAACTCCTTAAGAGCCGGTCAGTACAACACTGTATCAACTTTTGTTTTGACTAAATTAAATTGTGATCATTTGAGATGAACCTCACCCAAAGTATGTCTTTGATGAAGCATGGTTACAAACCCCATGATACTATTCATAAAGAGGAGTTTCTCCCAGTGTCATGGCCAGAAATCTTTTAGACAAATTGGTCAAAACTATGTGGTTTCAGCTGGTTAAACTTCAGCAGTAACACAATGCACAAACTGGTGTCTGCAAACCTTGGTTCTTTCCATTGAAAGCAAGCTTGTCACTGCTTGTCCAGCTCGGACTGCCCTATCCATAAGAGCTTTGGCTTGCAGGGTTAACAGACGCTGAGTTGGAAGAATTCCAGTGACTGGTCCGAGTGAGATCTGAAGTCTGGGTTTTGCAAGTCGTCTGACCTGCAGAAAAACAGTTTTGTGCCTCATGGGTGCGTTGTGCCTTATGGCAGTTACAATAATACTATTAATCTTATAATTCTTATAACCTTATAATTAATCTTAACTTGCATTTGATATAGCGCCTTATCACATCATCAAGACATCTCAAAGTATTTGACAAGATGTTACTGTGAAGTGCAGTGACATTGTTGGGGCACTTTTTCAATTCCACCGACTCATGCTGGAAAGTGCTGCTTCTTTGAATCTTGAATGATCACACTCAACTGGGATGGTTCTACAATCGACAGAACTTGCTACGTGGGTTCACACACATAAGGAATTATCACCTGGGTGATAATTATAAGAGTGTGTGTGGAAACAGACCCAATCAAAGGTCAGATGGGTGTAAAGCGAAGATGAAGGAAAAATAAGCAATAAGCAACCAAGAAATAGAATACCTAGGGGAGCTGCCTCTTAAAGCTGCAATTCTCACTAATATAGTGTTAGGAATAGAATGGGAAGCCCATTTTATATAAAAAAAGGTGAAGAGAAGTGGGATATGGGTTTGATTCCTGTCACTTTGCCAAGTACCCATTCTAAACTGTCACTCAGCTATAAACAAAAATCTGTCAAAACTGCCTGTCTCCCTCACTAGTGTAGAGTTCACTTTATCCCTTCCGCAACAAATAACTTGCTTTCAGTTTGATCTCAAAGAAGCTTGGTAAAATCAGTAGGAAAATGTACTTTTGAGATTGTTGCCTAAATAGTTTTTTAAATGAATCCATGCGTGTGGATGCTTTTTTGAGAGAGCCTGGGCAGCTATTCAATATGTTTTCTGAGTTGAAATTACTTTTAGAAATCTGCTGGGATTTCTATAGAAGTACATTTAAAGCAGCGCTTCATCACAGCTTTGTGATTCCCAAATAAGGACATGTGTCACACAAAGCCAGTCACATTGGACTGCAAAAGCCCCATAGGCTGAATAATACATTACATTTAGAAACTCAGCGGAACAAATTGCATTACGATGATAAACATTGTAGGAGACTAAACAATGCCAACATTCCCTGCAGAGTACGAATCCAAATGTGTAACCTTAGAACAGTATGTGCTCACTATCTTTTGCTCTTATTCCTCTCTCTCTTTGACAGTGAGGTTATTATTATAATTGGGACCTATTTCTCACTTTTACAAATAAAGGTTAATTAAAAAAATCAGTTAACATAATACTTAAGTTGATCATTCTGCAATATATGTTGCTGACACATTAACAGTAGCAGACCACACAATTTACAATGAAAGAGTGGTCTAGTGATTCCATGATTTGGTGTTGCTCACATCCGAAGGGAAAAGAATCAATGATTTTCATTGTAGGGTCCCTGTGCTGCATTTGTCTTTAATCTCCTAGCCCTGGAGTGATTTATGCCATTATACACAATAGGAACATAGGAAAACAGGACCTGGAGGAATCCATTCAGCCTATCGTACCTGTTGCATTAGTTTATCAGATCTTGGCAGATCTTTTAATCCAAATCCCCCATTCTTTCACCATACCTCTTAATACCTCTAACGACCTAAGTATCTGTCTATCTCTATTTTAAACATTCCTATTGAATCCACCTCTACAGCTTTCTGGGGCAGAGCATTTCACATCATCACAACCCTCTTGGTTCTGATTTTAAGACTATGCCCTCTTGCAATGGGATACCTCAAAGGGAAATGTTGTCTTCTATCTAACCTGTCAATAGCTTTCATTATTTTAAAATACCTTAATCAAACTACCAATTTACCTCCTTGGCTCTAATAATAATAATAAACCTTGCATTTTGACATAGCGCTTTTCATGTCTTCTAGACATCCCAAAACGCTTCACAGAATATACTGTAAAGTGAATTGACTGTATATTTGTGGGCGAAACGCAGCAGCCAATTGCGCACAGCAGTGTCCCACAAACAGTCGTGGATTGAAGATGACCATTTTATTATTGTTTTGTTTTTGGAAGGATTATTATCTAAGGAATGCAATCCCTGTCTACTCAGCCCCTCATCGTAGCTGAGGCACTTCAGCCCAGGTTTAATCTAGTGGGCCAGATACAATTCCTACAAGTGTAATAAGATTAATGCTTGTGGTTTTCTTTTTGTAGATACATTATGTAAGAACCCTTTTTTATGAATCCTAGTCTCTTAAACTACACACAACCTGCATGCAGCCTCTGCCCCTGCCACTCTGAAACAGAAATAAGAATGGATGCAAGCGCCTGTGTTACCTCTCCTGGCTTTCCTAACTCAAAGCAATGAGACTGAGATGAAGGACACAGCAGTGGAGAGATCAACACATTAACTGAAATCTGTGTGGCCCTGTTGATTAGGAGAAATAAGAATGTTAAATACTTCCAAATAAAGTATGATCTTTGTTGGACACAAAGTGAGACGTAGATAATTACACTATAATAATAATTATAATAATAATCCTTCAAGACATTTCAAAACGCTTCACAGATTATATTGTAAAGTGAATTGTGGGCGAAACACGGCAGCAAATTGTGCACAGCAGTGTCCCACAATCAGTCGTGGATTGAGTGACCAATTTATTATCTTTTTTAAAGGAATTATTACCCCGGAAATGCAAACTGAAAATTGATTAACAACCGGGTTGCTACTTACTGCTAGATAAACAGAGGTGTGTGGAGTAAGGAAACTTGCCCAACGTTTTGTCCTGTGGGGATCAAACCTAGGTCTCTCTCTTGTGAGGCCAGTGGTCGAATCACTGAGCTACAGGACTCCACTGCACTTCTTAAAAAATGTTGACTAACAAGGAGTACATTCTGTTCAAAGTATTAAGAATAAAAAAGTCAAAGACAAAGGTTTAGCACTGAAAAAGAGAACCTTTCAGACCATAAAAAGTACATTAGAAGAAAAAATTAGCAGACCATATAGCAATGAAAAATAATTCTGTGTGAGATGGGTTGTTCATTACAGAGCAAAATATTCCAATCAGGAGTGAAAGGGTTGAGTCAAAGGCTTAAAAATCTACAGATGAATGGGAAGAATAAGTCAAAATAAATTCTATAAAGGAGGCATATGATAAATTTAAGGGTAGTAATGCAGAGTTAAACCAGGAGAATACAAAAGGCTCAGAAGAGAAGCAAAAGAGAGATTAGGAGGGATAAAAGAGATTATAATGATGGACAACATAAAGGGTAATAGCAAAAGCTATTATAATCAGAATTGATGGTCAAGGGAAGAGGTGAGCAATCTTACAACTGAGAGTAAGAAAATGGTACAAATACATACTTAACAAGTAACAAATAGTAGCATAAATATGCATATACCACAAGACCCCAATGGTTTACCACACACACACACCCCTCAGAGAAACGACTGAGTTTGTAGTGAAATAGCAGAGATATCTTCCAAAATGCTTTGACAAATTGAATGATACTATAGGGTTAGAGGGTGACAAATGACACACTATGTTTAAGAAGAGGGAAAGGAATAGGCCAGGTACAGATAGGCAAGTAATGCTGGACGTACCTTTTGGCAGCAAATTACTACCAAACATACAGTATAAGAGCTGCTTTTCTCTTCTACAGTTAAGTGACATAATTACATGGAGATTTGCTTGTCAACTACTTTGGAGGAGGAGGAGGAGGAGGGGATTGGGGAGCAGAGTGATTGACAGGTGGGGGAAAAAAATAAAAAGATGTTCAAAGGACAAATGGGATACTGGGTTTTATAGCAATGAAACAAAAGGCGGTGATGTTCAATCTGTACGAGACATTGGTTGGATCACAACTTGGAGAATCGAATGGAGTTTTGGACCTTTCTTTTTAGAAAGGTTATCAGAGTCTTGATCAGGGAGCAGATAGGTCACCGGGCTGAGATGATATGGCTTTGATAAACTGCTTAAAGTCTGGCTATATTCACGAGAGCAGAGAAGGTAAAGAGGATTTAATAGCACTGTTCAAAATTCTGAATTCAGTCCACCTTATGTACACTCTGTTATGCATTTGCCTGTGGAAATCCTTCTACGGTAAAAAAATCTAGCTACTGTGCAATAGTTTTCTGTTCTAGAAAATTCAATTAATGCAGTAAGGGTTTTAGTCACTTGTGTAAGCATTAACATGTGAGTTTAAATGGTGGAGTCTGAACTGATAGCTCCAGGCGATGCAATAGATGAATCACTGGCTCTGTTGAAATCAGTGTTGCCTCTGAGTCAAAAAGTTGTGTGTTCAAGCCACATGTCACAAAATACACAGCCACTTCACTTTACAATATATTCTCTGAAGCGCTTTGAGATGTCTCAACGACATAATAAGGCGCTATATCAAATGCAAGGATTACTATTATAACGGGATTTTGTGCCCAGTCAAGGCTGACACTCCAGTGCAGTGCTGGAGTATTACTGCAATTTTGGAGGGCCCTCGTTCAGATGAGACATTAAACCAAGTCTGTCTGTTCAGGTGAACATTAAAAGTCCCCTGATACTATTCAAAATGAGAAGGGAGCTTCTACCGATGTGCTGGCTTCCATTTAAAATTGTTCATTCACTTATTCGACATTGTTTTGTGCAATTGGGTGTGTCATTCACCTACAAAAATCCACAGTAAACCTTTAAACTCTACAGTAATTCTGGTGATGTACTTTGCGATGTTTCAGCAACATGACAAGGCGCATTATCAAAGGCAGGGATTTGTATAAGTAGTGGTAATAGTAGTATTTATTTAGATACAAAGAGCAGTCAATTGCTGGGCAAGAAAACAGACATTACGTCTCGGCACAAAAACATCCACCGTTTCATTAAATATGCACAAACGAATGGCTTGCTGTCCCCAAACCCACCAAGCGAACAAAATGTTGTTAATTATTCTTTGTCTTTGTTAAGATACATTGGTCTACCTAACAATGTCAGAATGTCATCAACAACAAACTGTATCGTTTGCTGGTTGTTGACCGACTCCTTTGGAACTATTGAAACTTTGCAGTGTAAAGGGAATGTTTTATTACAAGAGGTTTATTGTATCAATCATTCAAATCCAATATTATCTTGAATTGGATAAAGGGAAACAGCGGCAATTTACGATTCATTTGGTCTATAATTTTTTTCTAAGAAATATTGAGACAGTGTGATGGATGAAAATCTGTTAAAGCTAATTGTTGTTTTTCCCCCTACAATGTTTCCTTAGGGAAAGCAGACTAACTCTGTAAAACCCAGATTTGGTGATGTTTTGGAATTTAACGATTACAAAGATCTGGCTGGCATCTTTCCAGAGAACTATGAACCCGGCACATTTACTGCCAAGGATTCAGGGAAACTACGGGTACTGACTGATCTGTTGGCAGCCATTCATCATCAGACTCCATCTGAAAGGTAATGAGGAAAACGCCTACATTTCAATGTTGGTTGCTATGGAATCATTTGTGTGCAGAGATTTTGTGTGTCTGAGGCACACTATTTGGGCAGAGTAGCGCAAGCTAGAGTTATATTGTATCTGACCTGGGAATGCAAGACATTGATCCCGAACAGTAAATAGTGCTATTTCCCAATATTAATATCTACTGACAGGTGGAGAATAATATTACTGTGTTTATAAATGTCTTGCCCCTTTCGTTAAAATTCCCTATATTCAGCATATATAGCATTGGAATGCATTGCCTGAAAGGGTGGTGGAAGCCGATTCAATAACAACTTTTAAGAGCGAAGTAGATAATTATTTGGGGAGGACAAATTTGCATGGCTATGGGGAGAGAGAGGGGGAGTGGGATTGAATTGGATAGCTCTTTTAAAAGAGCCGGCACTGACACGATGGGCCGAATGGCCTCCTTCTGTGCTGTATAATTCTATGATTCTATGATATGGATTTTTCTCCAAACATTGCACTTTATCAAAATTAAATGATAACACAAATATGTGCGTGTGTTTATACTGTATAAGGAAAACTTATTCACACAACTCCATTCTCAACTTTATCCCCTGCAGAGTTGTGCTGGTTTCAAATTATACTCAGACACTGGACATCCTGCAAGAAATGTGCAAGTGTTCTGGGTATACCTACACCCGACTGGATGGACACACCCCTGTCGCCCACCGACAACAAATTGTAGACTTATTTAACAGCAAGCAAAGTGAAACTTTCATCTTCCTATTGAGTTCAAAGGCTGGAGGAGTGGGATTAAATCTGATTGGAGCATCTCGTCTGGTTCTATACGACATTGACTGGAATCCAGCAACTGACATGCAGGTTTGTAGACGGGTATTACTGAGAATGTATCTTCTTCAGTAGTCAATCGACCCTTTTAAGTTGGAGACAACAGCTGGAGGATTGTACTGTGGTGTAGTGACTGCGCATTTCCACAGGTGAACGTATATTTATTACAAAAACAGAGAGCTGGGAAAAGGGTCTTGGACCCGAAACGTTGACTCACTTTCCTTTCTCCATAGATGCTACCTGACCTGCTGAGTTTTCCCAGCTCTCTCTGTTTTTGTTTCAGATTCCAGCATCTGGAGTATTTTGTGTTTTGTGTATATTTATTAGTTGAGATCAGGAAATCACTGGCCTGAAATTTGCAGTGGTCAGCAATTTAACAATAGTGTGAATTAACAGTGCTTGATATTGTAACAATTTCTGGTATTTCTGGTAAAACAAGCGTGGCAAGATTTATACTGAAGATGGTGTGAAACACTAATTAACCAATAGGTGGCAGGTCCCACCCAGACTGCCAGCTCCTGACTTTCAGCTCGCTCATTGACATTTTTTGATGTGGTAAATTTTTGCTTTTAAATCGTAGCCCTAGAGCATGTTCTAATTATTTTTATCCCAATTGAAGATTTGCAGCAATAATTTAAATGCCATCAATAATTTACACCAGATTTAATTACTGAGCACTACATATTTTATCCCATTGTAAGGATTGTACATTCATCTGGGCAAGAGACAAGAGGTTGCCATATATACACATAAACATTCATGTGCATACACACGCTGGCACAATTACACAAAGCTCTATAGTTAAAGGCTTACTAAAATGTCCAGCAAAAATGTTTCTTTTTACAAAGACAAGCTGCTGTGTCTGTGTCCAGTAAATGGTATGGAGTTATTGTTCGTTGCTGCCCATTGTGCCAGCATTCTGGCACCATTCTAACCTCAGTCTCCAGCTGTTAATTTACCACTGAATATATTAACAGAATGTTTCTGTCTCTCAAGGCTATGGCCAGAATATGGAGAGATGGTCAAAGGAGAACTGTGCACATCTACAGACTGCTCACTGCAGGTTTGTAATAACAGCTTGAATACATTTCAAAATTGATTTTTTTCAGAATGACTTCTGCAAATAAAACATTTTGCATTGAGTTGGAATATAGTTCCTATTTATCAGTGCAATAACTATATGTACCTTTGTTTTAAAGATCTAGTACAGAATATAGATGACTTGGTTGCTAAACGCACATCTTATCTGATCCTCAGTTTGTGCAGAGTTAGCTGATTTCTGAGTATTACAATTGCCGCTGGGGTAAAGGTTCATTAACCACTGCTTGCAAGTGTCAGGATTGACTGAAGACTTGGCTGGCAACATCTATATGCCATCTACCATCAAATGATCTGCAGTCTCTGTCTGGGCTCATACATTAAAATATTCACTTGGTGACAGACAGGGTGCTCTATGCCGAGGAAACTGGGCACCACTCTAACTCAGCACTTTCTAGAAAAGAGGGAGAAAAAGATTTATTACATGTGTGATCATGTAACAAGTTGATGCACCAGCGCCTGAGAATGCAGGGCACAGGGCTGATTCCTCATGCTACTGCTACTATCTGAAGAGCGCAGAGCATAATTGTATAATTTTTGTATTGCATACAATACAATATTTGCTTCTCAGCCTTTTGGCTAAGATCAAGTGGAGTATGTATTTTTATCAGTTACTCCCTGGGTTGTGCAGTTCCTGGCAATGCATTCATCCATTAAGGGAATGGAGTGATTTACCCACTGCCTTGCTGAGACTCTCCATGGTTTATTCATGGGGGACAGTTGCACCTGAGTGTCACAATGCCAGCTCAGTCTGTTATGATTGGGATTGAAGGGGCCCCAATCTAAGGATTTGATCTGCGCTCACAAGAAGGAGAAATTGGCTCAGACCGAGCTTGCTAGAATCAAGAGGGGCGATGTTGTCACTTGGGTAGCTGTGAGCAAGGAATCGGGTCTCAGTTGTCGTTTTGATGATTTGGGACTTAGATTTGCGGCAACTCCTACTGGAGGGTGCATGGCTCCCAGGTAAGGATGGCATCACATTCGGCTGTGAAATCCTGCAGGTTTGAGGGTAATACTTACTATCTGGGCTCACAGATGAAGAATGCCCAACAAATAAAGTATTGAACTTATTGTTACCTTGGACTTGTATCTTAGTAAGAGTCCATACAATAATACAAATTACATTTGTATAGCGCCTTTCATGTCGAGAAGTGGTCCAAGGTGCTGGATAGTCAGGGATGTGTACCTGAGCTGGGGTTTGGGATCAGGGACTGTGGAGCCTACTGAGCGGAGGGAGTGGACAGGCCTGTCAGCAGTCTTAGCGCAATGAATAGGCGGAAAAGGTTCTGTACAGAAGTGGAGTTCCGCATGGTCCGTTCTGGATCCCCTGCTGTTTGGAATGAATCATAAAAACTAGAGGAGCGTCCGATCACGAATCCGTTTGTTATCTTGTCAGGTGCAGAATGTGCATCTGCCCCAATGCTTTCTGATTTGTGGATTATTGCAGAAATCCGCACTTGGCTTTTTACAAAGGTTCCTAATGTTGTTTACACAGGCTCAGACAGGAACGATGCTGGTTACGAAAATGAGATTTGACAGGTAGAGATGTGATTACAGTGAACAGTTTATACTCACTGATCATGCTGGGATTCAGCCGGAACTTGTCCCACACTACTTACCCATTAAAGTAAATCAGTTCCCGTTGTGACTTGCATCTCTTGAAAATACACCTTGTGGCTAATTCTCAAATAATGTCATCCAACAAGGAGCCCCTACTCTCTTGTACTTTTGTAAAGAATGCATGTCAGAGGTAAATAAACCACCTTTAAAAATATGGCAAGTTTTGCCATAAACGAATATCACTGAAGATACCATATACATTAAATAAATAAGATATGAGTTAAAAAGGGTCCTGTATTTTAAAAGTGATTCTTGAGCATTTTAATACAGAAATTGTATAATTTTGGTGTACCTTCAGCAGAGAACTTTGCTTTTTGTTTCATAGAGAAGGGAGTTTCTCCCAGTGTCTGGGCCAACAATCTCCCGCATAGAATTTGTCATTCACTTCTTGGCTGTTTGTGGGACATTGCTGTTCACTAAATTAGCTGCCACATTCACCTACAAATTACAGAGTCACTATACTTTACAGTATATTCTGTGAAGCACTTTGAGCATCCTCTTGGCATGAAAGGTGCTACACCAATGAAAGGATTATTATTATAATAATTATAATCATTGCATTTGATATAGTGCCTTATTATGTCAAGATGTCTAAAAGCACTTCACAGGATACACTATAAAGTGGTTTGACTGTATTTTTTGGGTGAAACCCAGCAGCCTGTTGCACAAAGCATTGTCCGAAAAAAAGGCATGAAGTGAGTGACCAATTGTATTTTAGGGGATTTGTTGGCCAGGACACCAGGAGAAACTCACTTCTGTCTTCAAATAGTGTCATACGATCTTTAACGTCCACCTAAACAGGCAGACAGAACCTTGGTTTAACATCTCATCCGAAGGACGGTACCTCCAACAATGCAGCGCATCACCAGCAATACATTGGAATGTCATCTTAGACTATGTGATTCCAAGTCCCGAAGTGGGACTTGAATCCACAACAATAACAACAACAACAACAACAACAACAAGATTACATTTTCACGTTGGGAAGACGTCCCAAGGCACTGGACAGAGTACAGCATTTCAGACCCGAGCTGGGGTTGGTGGGTAAGCGAGGATAGGGTAAGGGGGGTGGCCGATGTCATGGCTGAAGAGGAGGGTCTTGAGGCGGGACTTGAAGGAGGCTAAAGAGGGGGCAATGCGGAGTGATTGGGGGATGGAATTCCAGAGGTTGGGGGCAGAGTGGCTGAAGGCTCTCCCGCCAATGGTGGGGAGGGTGGGTCGGGGGACGTGGAGCAGGCCAGAGCGGACTGAGCGGAGGGAACGGGCGGGTTGGTAGGGGGTTAGGAGGTCGCAGAAGTAGGATGGGGCGAGGCCATGGAGGGTTTTGTATGTGAGGGCCAGGATCTTGAACTGGATCCTCTGAAGGATAGGGAGCCAATGGAGTCGGGCGAGAGTGGGGGAGATGGGGTCACGGAGTTTGGTGCGCACAACCTTCTGACTAAGGCGAGAGGGCTACCATGAGCCAAGCTGGTATACACCACTAAATATATAATAAATATTATGTAAAACATTTACATAATGAAATATTTATTATAAATATTACTATTTACAAAACCATTTATCCGGAGTCTAGTTTCCCAGATGCACAGATTGGAGAATACTATTGTCAAAAAAAAATATTCTATAGTTGTGAAGAAGTTCTGGTTGCGTGGTAACCTTTTAAATATTAAGAGTTGAAACAGAATGACTTCTTCGTACAGTACAGTGGCTGTACCCTAGGCAGCCACAAGATGGTGCGTGAACACAGCGACGGAGAAAATCATGAGTTTTAATAGTTCATGTCATGGCCGGTGAGTCTAAATAGTCGTAAACTTTAAAAACATTTTAATCAAAATATTCTTTGCATTCACTAAGAGAGATACTTTCCTGTCCATGTCTTGTACAGTCCTTTCTACGGTGATTAATGCATGGAGATTTAATTATACATGGAGAAGATAATAATAATAATAATCCTTGCATTTGATATAGTACCTTATCACACCTTTGAGCGTCTCAAAGCGCATCACAGAATATACTGTAAAGTGAATCGACTGTATTTTGTGAGCGAAAAGCGCACAGAAGTGTCCCATAAACAGTTGTGGATTCAGTGATTAAATTTTTTTCTCTAAGGGATTATTACCCCCGGTATACCTATTGATCCGCTGATCAACTGACAACTTATTGCTAGGTAAACAGAGGCGTGTTTGTAGATAAGGAAACTTGCCTAAGGTTTCGCCCCGACCTGTTCCAACTACAGTAACTGACAGAGAGAGATACTCAGAGTCACAACACTCTGGAGCCTCAACTACAACACAGCACCCTCGGGCACCAGCACCCGGGTCCACTTCGGCCCCCACTCCTCCCCGTCCTGCAGTCAACCCCGGCATTCCCTAAATCGATCTCGCCTCCACCAGATCTGCTTTACCTTCATCACCACCTTGGATCTGTGGCTCTGTTGGGCCCTTATTCTCCTGTGGATTGACTTAAAGATCCTCGTCCTTACCTCAAATGCCCCACCCTACCTCCCTATACTGTATTATTAATACATAAATATATTAAATATTTAATTTGATATCGCTCCTTATCACATCGTTGAAAAATCTCAATGCGTTTCATGGCAAAATTACAAAGTGTAGTGATGCTATTTATAGCCATATATGACAGCCAATTTGTCCACAAACAGCTATGAAGTGAATGACCAATTTTATCTGGGAAATTGTGAGCCATTACCCCAAGAGAAAGAGAAACTCCTTTCTCTTTCTTGACTAGTGGATCTTTAATGTTATTTAATGTTCTGTAAACTGTTGGATCTTTAATATTCACCTGAATATCCAGCACTTTGGGATGTCTTCCCGACATGAAAGGCGTTATACAAATGTAAGTTGTTGTTGAATAGGCAGATGGGACTTTGATTAAATGTCTCATTGAAAGGATGGGTTTTCCAACAATGCAACTTCCTTTCCCCAACATTCCCAAACAGTGTCAGTTTAGGTTGTAAATTCAAAGTCTCGTGGGGCTTGAACTCAGAGGCAAGAGAGTTACCAACTAAGTCAAACTGACACCCTATAATTGTTAACACAGAATAGAAACACAATAGGTATTCACAAACTGCAAGTTGTGCTAATTGCAAATTCCATTTTGTGACTAAAATTGTAGGATTCGCTAACAAATTTGCTTAAAAAAATCAAATGCCAAACATTAGCAAACATATATATATTTGTGTGTGTGCAAGTGTTGGTCAACATTTTATTTGTCCTGTTTTGTACTTTCATTTTTCTCATGTTTTAGCCTTTATAAATGTTAAATAACTTTAGCACATTTTTTCCACATACAACAACAACAAGATTCCATTTACATGGTGAAAACGGAGTTTACTTGAGGAGGTGCTTTTTCTGGCAGCCACTGACAGGAACGCTAGTGCTTTCAAGAGGAACAGATTTTCAATCCCACTGTTTCCTTGTCAAGTCAGATTGTCTTTCAAACTTTTCATATGAAAAAACAGCACACCATCATGTATCTGGTATTTGATTGTGATTTTTGATCTGATTTTTGAATATTAATCAGAAATATGATGTACTTAGGATAACTTTATTTTCCCATCAGTTTCCTCCTCCCTCTCTTCATGGGCCACTTGCAACCTGTAATGACACGTTACAGTTTGGGCCTCTTGGTAAAACGATACCTCAAAATGACTTATATTTATAAATGAAATTAAGAAGTTTCATAATAGTGTCTTGCTTGTCTTCATTATTCCACCTGTACAGGGACCATAGAAGAAAAGATTTATCAGCGACAGGTCAGTAAGCAAGGTTTGTCTGGAGTGGTGGTAGACCTAAGAAAGAAGAGTGAACATGCCAGCTTTTCCGTGGAGGAACTCCGAACCCTTTTCAAATTGGATGAAACCTCAAGCTGCCTCACCCATGACCTCCTCTGCTGTAACTGTGGGGGCAATGGAGAGGTGTTGGGTAAGTAGGTCTTGGCCTTGAAGGGAATTCTTCATTCTGGTGTGCTCCACCTTCCTGCAGGTCATCGATGGGAAAAATGTCAAATCCCTTTAAGACATTTTTCAACATTCGTAATGCCCACATGACCAAATTTTCTGCAACATATAAAGACACCATCTCTGACCTGATGGCTTCTTTTTAACTGTTGGCATCAGTGGGAACTCCTTACTGATGACTCTTGTTTTATTTTCAACTGGTAACAGATGCGCAAGAGCAACTGAGGTTTCTGGTTAGCTTCTCCCCTAACAGCTTGGAAACTCACTGTGTGAGGAAGTTTACGTCCAGGTCAGGGCCTTACTCACCCTATACAGCACCAATGTACGTCCATCCTGAAAAGTTAACTCATTTAAGAAATTTATTCTCCCAAGATTTTAAAAAAATTATACAAAAATCATTATTTTAAAGAATTGTCTGTTTGTAGTTACTTTCCTATAATTGTATTAGTATTTATTTTACCTATTACTATTTACTTTAATATGATTATAGGGTCTCACGTGCTTGAACTATTTCTAAATTAAATTGTGCTGAGATTAATGAAGTGATGTGGTTCCCTGGCTGGCACAGGACTGACAATCTAAAACTAATAGCAGCTTGGTTGGAAGTGCTTTACAAGATCACAAGAGAGGTTCAGATAAAGAAGGACCCTCAGCCCATTTGATTTCTTCTTCCAGAATACCCACTTACTGGTTTTCCGTTAAAGCATCCATCTGTTTCCTGACTGAGTTCCGTCATCTGACTTCAACTATCGTGGTGTTGCTTACTCGCTGTGTGTAATCTATTCCCTGGTACTTGTCCTACAGTTGCCCTTTACAATCCTGACCCTGCTCCTTCGGGTCCTGCTCCCTTGGCATATCTGAAAAGATAGTTATCAATTTACTTTCTCCTATTTACGATGTTATCATCTCCAATTCCTCATCCACCTGCTTCAATCTCACCTGAAAGCATGGAGTTTACACTCATAAGCCTTACCTACCAAATTTGTCTATTTGCTCGCTCTGCACTCCTTTTGTTGAGCCTTCTTCCACCATGCCCATGCCCTCTAGAACGTTCTGCAGAAACTACTTTGATTTGCCACCTCTCTACCTGCTTTCAAAAACCTCCTAAAAATATCTGTTTCACTATGCTTTTGTCGAACGTTTTTGAACCTCGTTATTGCCCTGTCCTAGTGTTTGTTTGTCAAGCATTTTGAGATGTTCTGTTGAATGAAACATGCTATACACATTGTAAATGATCTTTGTGTGCGCGTGTGTGTGTCTACATATCTTTCTCTCTCCCATTGTTTCTGCTTAATATGGAAATACCCCAATTGATCACTGGTTCTACTATAGCCATACAGTACCGAGGGCTGCATGTATAATTCTCCTCACTCTAGTGTTTAAAATCCCTCCACTGCTTGCCACCCCCTAATCTCTCTAACCTCCTCTCTCCCCCACAGCAGTACCTGCTGCCTTCACTCTACTGGGTCCGGCCTCCTCTGTATCCCTCAAATCCTCCGCTCCAGCCACTCTGCTCCGAAACTTTGGAACTTCTTCCCTCAACCCCTTTGCCTCGCCCCATCCTTCCCCATCTTCAGGTCGCGCCTGAAGATCTTCCTCTTCAACCATGCCTAGGGTCACCTCCCCCCCCCACCCCAGCTTGGCCTCGGGCTCCGCCATTGTTAAGCACTCTGAGACGCCGCCAGGCGTGGAGGGCGCTATATAAGTGCAAGTTGTTGATGAACTGTATCAATACAATTAGATGCTACATATTGTACAACCTCCCACTTCACTACTGATACGTAAAATGATGTAATATTATACACGAATACAGCATACAAATGTGTACATGTGATGTAGATCACATAATAATAATAATAATAATCCTTGCATTTGATATAGCGCTTTTCATGTCGGGAGGACGTCCCATAGCGCTTCACAGAACACACTGTAAAGGGATTGACTATATTTGTGGGTGAACGCGGCAGCCAATTGCGCACAGCAATGTCCCACAAACAGTCGTGGATTGAAAATGACAAATTTATTATTGTTTTTTGGTTTTGGAGGGATTATTATTAGGCGTGTGGAGTAAGGAAACTTGCCCAAGGTTTCGCCCTGCCTGGAATTGAACTCAGGTCTCTCGCTTGCAAAGCGAGTGCTCTAACCACTGAGCTGCAGGACTCCACATGCACTCTGGAACACGATAATTTATAGTAAGCAAGACATTTGTGATCAGATCTGTCCTGAAATCATTACAGGTGTTGCTTGGCAAACTGAAATGTTGTGAATGACGTGGTGTGATCTAATTCCAGCTTGCCCCACTGCTGAGAAACCTTCAACTGCCAGGCCCTGCCAACTGGGCCAGAACTCCGGGTCTGCTTCTCAGAAACACCTCTCCATGTCTGAACTCATGTGCTGGAAGCACTTTTCTGGAGAAATTCAACAGTTTCCTGATCCCCATCTTCAGACAGCCAGGGAAAACATCACTTTCATCTTTCAGAATACATCAAAACACCGCAGCCCACATCTAGCTGAGGGAAGGAAAGAGAAAGGAAATACAGAGGTGAATGAATGAACAGTGTGATAAATTGCACTCCCTCCCTCCTATTCTTCATTGCAAAAGATACCTTTGTTGTTTGAATGCTCTTTTGCTTGTGCATGACCTTGCAGTCTATGAACAATTCTTTCTCTTTTTGGCTTGATCATTTTCCCTCTTATGTTTCCCCCACCCCCAGCTTTATTTCCTGTAAACGTACCAGGTTTTCTCCTGTACTTCATATGTAAGTGTGGGCAATGTGTTCAGGGTGTTCAACCACACTGACATTTTGCAAATCCAAATCCGTTCTCGCCCAATGTCCACATACAGTATGTGCACACACTCTGCAGCAGGGTCATTGCATAACAAACACGATCAGGAACCTTGTCCATCTCTTTCCTAACTCAGGGAGCACTGAGACCAATTCAAGCACCCTTATGACTGCTCTGGCTGAAATCATCTAACTCAACAGATTGATGATCAAAACTTTCACCTTGCTTGTATGGTGTATTGTAGTAGCTAAGAACAGTATCCTTGCACACAGCTTGATATCTACATAACTATGAAATCCTGGGAAGCGCTTTGAGACTGCCTCTCAACATGAAAGGAGCTAGTATCAAATGCAAGAACGATTTATTATTTACCTGCCCATTTGTTTCAGTAGGGATCAGAGACATTGAGATCAACTCCCTTATGCACTCCCTCAATTAATCTTGTGAAGCTAACAACACAGACCAGGTATCAAGCCAAGGACCACAGGGTCTGTTTGGCTCATTACTACAGTACATGCTGCTTGTACCACTGAGCAACCAGTCAGATACTTTAAAAAAAAATGAATGTGTCCAGATACTTTTCTCATTTATTCTCTGATGGTATGTGTTCCTGGTCTGGTCTCCTCTTGGTGGGGTTTGATACCACAGGCGCAGCACCTGGTCGGTAAGCTGTGGTGCCATCCACTTACTTGTCTATACCATCCTGAGAAGCCCCTTTTCTACATTTTGTTTCAAACATTGTTTCTAATTAATATTTTAGAGGAAGTAATACATAATTTCCTGACAAATATTTGTTCATATAAAGTTATGGTATCTTTACTTTCTAAAGTTGCAGTGTTATGTTGAGGAATTGTGGGGGTGCATTTTATTGTGCATTTGCATTGTATTAATTACCGCTCATAAAATTTAGTAAACATGATATTTAGCATGTACACTGGTACACTGTGCTAAAGACACACCCCCTCAACACCTATTGTCTGAGAAGCCAGTTGCACGGTACTTTAGATTCCTGTAATACAGTATTTGTGGTTAGAGGCATACAACTTTATTCTGATTTTTTTTGTTTAGTTAAGGCAATTTCTTGGTACAACCAACACACTAGTTTGTTTGAATGTTTTCTTGTCTGCAATAAAAATGTTATTGAACAGGACTTAGTGAAAATGCGTGTTTCTTTTTAATAGAATTTTGCATTGCTAATTTACTCTCCTCGTCCTTTCATGAAGGCACGGTCACTCGCCGGGGTTCCATGGGGAATGGCAGCCCTCTAGTGTCAGAAATCTATTCAACTGTGGTCCAGAATACTAGAATAATAAATAATCCTTGCATTTGATGTACTGGAATACTTTATCGTTTCAAAATATACCAAAGTATTTCACACGGTTGGGACTAATTTGGGATATTTGCAAGTTAAATTCTTTATATTACCTGCAACTATGGTTTGCCAAATTCATAGGTATCAGACTGAAAACTTTCCAAAGCTGACAAAGAACTGAAAGAAAGGCTGGCGAGAAAAATGGCCAGTTAATGCAGTTTGTTCCCTGACCTTTTTTGGATGTTGTTTCGGCAATCACAATCCACCAGCAATGTATTTCACAGACCAGAAGCACAACAAATCCGGTTTGAGAATATATTGCAAATTAGACTCCATAAATTGTATTGAAATACAGTGACTTTATATAGCTGAACCAGGGAGCTAATTGGCATAATCAACATAGCATGAACAGAAATAATATGAATCACCAACTAATCTGTTCTTTAAGAATTTGGATGAGGGAGGAATATTGACCAGGAAGTAACAACAACAACAAATTACATTTGTAAAGTGCCTTTCATGTCGTGAGGATGTCCCAAGGCCCTGGACAGTCAATGATTTGTACCCATTGGGGGTTGGGATTAGGAAGGGTGGAGGGCAGGAAGGGAAGGAGGGTGACCAAAGGCGCAGTCAAAGAAGAAGGTCTTGAAATGTGCCTTGAACTGCGCCAGGGAGGGAGCAAGTTGAAGGGACTGGGATGGAATTCCAAAGGGTGGGGGCTGAAACATTGAAGGCCCGACCGCCGATGTTTGGCAGGCAGGTCGGGGGACGTGGAGCAGGCCAGAGCCCACTGAGTGGAGAGAGCGGACAGGTTGGTAAGGAGTTAGCAGGTCATAGCAGTAAGGAGAAGCAAGAAATTGGGAGAATGCTGCATTTTTTATAATAATAATAATCCTTGCATTTGATATAGCGCTTTTCACGTCTTCTCGACGTCTCAAAGCACTTCACAGAAAAGACTGTAAAGTGAATTGACTGTATATTTGTGGGCGAAACGCGGCAGCCATTGCACACATCAGTGTTCCATAAACAGTCGTGGATTGAAAATGACCAGTTTATTATTGTTTTGTTTTGGAGGGATTATTATTAGGTGTGTGGAGTAAGGAAACTTGCTCAAGGTTTCGCTCTGCCTGGAATTGAACCCAGGTGTCTCGCTTGCAAGACGAGTGCTCTAACCACTGAGCTGCAGGACTCCAATAATATTGAAATAATATCTCCTAAATGGCACCTCATTTCAAGTTTCATCTGAAGGACTACACCTCCAACAATCCTGATTGCTCCCTCAGGCACAGACCAGTGTCAGCCAAGATGAATAAATCTTGTCCTGGACTGAACCTACAACATTCTGATCCAGGTGTGAGACTGCTACTAAATACGCCAGGCTGTTAAGTGAATGAAGAGAAGGAAAGTTGCTTACTAAGAAAAAGGATATGTAACTAAAAAGTACAGTTGCAGGGTCTCTGAAATAAAAATAAATGTGTAGCTTCTCCAAGATATCTGATAGAGGAAGATAACATGACATTTTGGCCAACTTATCCTTTCAGGTAATGATTTACCGTTGTCTAGTTACAGGATTTCTGTTTTTGTTATTCCTCAGTTGAGGACTTGTGTAGAGTCCTGTAGCTCAGTGGTGAGAGCACTTGGCTTGCAAATGAGAGACCTGGGTTTGATTCCCGGCAGGGTGAAGCCTTGGGCAAGTTTCCTTACTCCACATGCCTGATAATAAAATAAATAAATAAAAGAAATAAAAGAAAAGAATAATAAAAAAATTGGTCACTTCAATCCATGACTGTCTGTGGGACATGGCTGTGCACAATTGGCTGCCGCATTTTGCCCGCAAAATATACAGTCAATTAACTTTATAGTATATTCTGTGAAGCTCTTTGAGACGTCTAGAAGACGTGAAAAGCGCTTTATCAAATGCAACAAAGGATTATTATTGTGTAGCCTCTTGCCAACCTGCAATGTAGAGATCTTATTTTTGAAACATTTACATCAAAGTCTGAGAGTAATTTCCTTTCAATGTTTTCGACCAGCAATATTTTTCTCATTCAAACTTTCGCCTCCCTCCAATATTTTATATTGTTATTTTATTATTATCTTCATGTTTATAATTAGTTTCATTTTCCCCAGATTACTCTATCCTCTTTTGAATATGGAGATTCATTCTTTGTCACAGTTCCACCAAAACCTTTGCTCTTTAGTACTTTGTCCTAGTGGCTATCTGGCGTGATGTGTTGAAATAAGAAGGGTTGAAACAAAATACAATAAATCAAATTACTTTAATGCGTGAGAAGGTTGGGCAATTCAAGCCCTATTTCAGGCCGATGAATTTGTAGGTTAGGCTGATACTGTGTTGTGCTATTCAGGGAGGGAGGGGAATATGTTTTATTTGTTAAAGTTGTTTTCACTGAAACTGATAATTGTGTTCTTATTTATTTGCTATCAGTTTTAATCTGCATTCGTATTACTATTCACATCTTTGGATCATTTAATGTTGTGCTTAAATTGTCCACAAAATAAGATCTTGTTTTGAAAAAAGCAGGAAGAAATGGGATTAGGAACAACCCCAGCGCTATGTGGAAATCCTATAATAGCTTGCTATTTTTAAACAACTTTGATTAAGATAATCTTTATAATTAGCACATTCTATTAGTGTGGTATCCAGTGCAGCCCTGGTCTCTGGGGATAGCTGGCCTGATTTAACCAGAAGCAGTTTATGCAATGTCTTTTAAAATCCTCAAATATTTTCCCCACATCTGAGAAGTAACCTCACCACATTCGCTGTCTGCTTCTATGTACAATGTAATCTGCCAAAACCGTGATAAACATGTACTCCTACCAACCTTCCCCCTGTTTCTGTACAAACCGATCGCTTATTAACACTGCCACATACTAATTGCTGTTTAACATCTCTGCAAAGCATTGATGTTGAGTCGGTTCTGAAGTGAACTGTTTGATAGGTTGTATTTGTGAACGTGCGAAAAATCAGCTTCCCTTTTGCGCCACATTTATTGCCTCCAAACCTTACTTACGATGGAGTCCTGTAGCTCAGTGGTTAGAGCACTCGCTTTGCAGGTGAGAGACCTGAGTTCAATTCCAGGCAGGGCGAAACCTTGGGCAAGTTTCCTTACTCCACACGCCTAATAATAATCCCTCCAGCATCAAAAACAATAATAAATTGGTCATTTTCAATCTACGCCTGTTTATGGGACATTGCTGTGCGCAATTGGCTGCCGCGTTCGCCCACAAATATACAGTCAATTCACTTTACAGTGTATTCTGTGAAGCGCTATGGGACGTCCTCCCGATGTGAAAAGCGCTATATCAAATGCAAGAATTATTATTATATTATTATTTTGTCTAGTGGTGTAACAACATGTTTATTATTTGGACACGATCCATTCAAACATCGGAGCTGCTGGTATACCAACTGCAAATCTAGACTTCAACAGTCCATTTTAAAAGAGGTCATCCAGAAATGTTTAAACCAGATTCAATTCAGATTGTTTGGTCACTCATCCATGATTGTTTGTGGGACACTGCTATGGTGTGCCCACAAAATACGCAGTCAATTCACTTTGGAGTCCTGTAGCTCAGTGGTTAGAGCACTTGCCTCACAAGTGAGAGAGTAGGGCTAAACATTGGGCAAGTTTCCTTACTCCACACCTCTGTTTACCTACCAGTAAGTAGGTACTCAGTTGTTAGTCGATTGGTGGATCGCTTTTCCAATGATAATAATTCCTTCAAAAAATAAGTAATAAATTGGTCACTTCAATCCCCGACTGTTTGTGGGACACTGCTGTGCGCAATTGGCTGCCGCGCTTCGCCCACAAAATATACAGTCAATTCACTATGAAGTGCTTTGAGACATTTCGAAGACGTAATAAGGCACTATATCAAATGCAAGGATTATTATTGTTATTACTTTACAGTATACTCTGAGAATATGATTCAGAATGTATTAGATTTGTAAAGTGATAACGCGCTATATCAAATGCAACAATGTTTATTATTGTTGTAGAATTAAGGTACATTTTCTCTGCCTTTCTTCTGTGTCTAAGATGGGTGTGGGGTGGGGGCATATTATTTATTAAGGGTTTCAATAAATTTACAGAACTGGATCTTAATAAATCCGATTTAGTTTTGAAATAACAAGAAGCTGCCAACCAGTACAGCATCAGAAGAGAACTCCATGTACAAGACTGGAAAAGTTAAAGGCCAACAACAACAATAATAACAATAATCGTTGCATTCCTATTCAATTTGCCAAAATATTTATTAAACGTTGAAATCAAGTTGCAATTTTAGGGGGAGAGTAAACGTGTTTGTTAAACTATTATATAGTATAACTGCAGAAAAGTGATTTGCCATCAAACTATTTGGCTGGCTGAATGGAATAACAGCAACCTTGGTTTAGAGAGAATGTGGTGCTGAGCTCCCTCAAAATTCCTCCATATTGCTATCACATTTGACTGGGTTGGGGGTGGGGTGGGGGATAGTTAAATGTGAAATGGAAACAATATCCCGTTGTGTGTAAAACCAACATGTGCGTTTTGGAAAAATTGCTGTTGAAATGAAATGCAGTAAATGTCACCCTATGGCACACACAAACAGACGTGATGGTAGTTGTGCAGGGAGATGCCTGGGGACCAGAACAGCTGAACAGGAAAAGCAGAGGCAGCCACAAAGCAGGGTCATTGCATTTAATCACTGGATCCAACCAGCCTAACCGGGACTCCCGGAGGATCGGGCTCTTTATTTGCGGTTCAGTTATATCAATCGTTAGATCTGGTTCCATTCTCATCATTCCATTCCACAGAAGCTTTTTTTGGGGGGTGAGGGGCTGAAACTGGAATAAGATCCAAAACGTGGTGTAAAAAACTCTTTGAAGAAGTCGTGCGACATAGTACTTCTGGTGCAGTGTTTGTGGTTTTCTTGTTCTTGGGTGATCAATGTAGATCTTATAACTTTTTTGTTCCCATATTAAATAGCTTTTCCAGCCTTTTATGTGCCTGTGTTTGCTGGGGGAGGGAGATGCTGTAAAAGTTTGTGGTCTGAGTCAAGAGTCTCCAGAAGCTGTCAGGAGTTTGGGTGACATCACGGAAAAGCCCTGTTCTGATCTGATCTGCTTAATATAAACCAGAGAAGAGATCAGAGGGAATTAGAGTCAGAGCAGAGGCACAATCACACAGGATTACAACTCAGCACAGCAAAACCAGACATCCTCAACCAGAAATAACCCAGAACTTCACAGCACAAAGCAGCGAGCTACAGGGTAAGTCACTAGTTTTTTTTCCATCCAAAGGCAGATTTTCTTGTTTGCATCAACTGTTGCTTTTTAAAAAAAACTTTTATGTGATTAGTAAAGTGTTTGTGAGTGCAATGCTGATACATAGTGTATTAGATTTGTAAAATGCAACCTTGGAATGGACTTGCACATTCTGACTATGTTTTTTGTGAAAGTAACTTTATCCATAAGGATTCTTTGTAGGAGAGTTTTTATTCAATTTTCAGTTACAGATTTCAGAACAAGTTTATAGAAGTCTGTACTGAAGGAAAGTGGGAGGAATCCAAGCACTTTACTGCAGACCTGGAGAAATATACAGCACAGAAGAAAGCCATTTGCCCCATTGTCTGTACTGGTTCTTTTAAAGAGCAATCCATTCAGTCTCATTTACCAGCCTTTTCTCATACCTCTGCATATTACTCTTTTGTTCAGCAATCTTTCTAGTTTCCTCTTGAAAGCTAATATGGATTCTGCCATAACCACCTCACCCAGCAGGATATTCTTTATCATAGCAACCCTCTGTTGTGAATTTAAGCAATCGCTGTTAATCTTAGCCTGTTTGGTAATTGTTGCCCTCGAGTGACTAACCCACCAACCAGTGGAAATAATAATAATCCTCTCATTTGATATGGTGCCTCTTCATATCATCGAGACGTCTCAAAGAGCTTCACAGGATATACTGAAAGTGGATTGACTATATTGTGGGCAAAACGTGGCAGCCAGTTTGCGCACAGCAATGTCCCACAAACAACCATGGAGTGAGTGACCAATTTTATTAGGTGGATTTGTTGACCAAGACACCAGGAGAAACTCCCTTCTCTTTTCGAATAGCGCCATGGGAACTTTAACGTTCACCTAAACAAGCAGATAGGACCTTGTCCGAAGGACAGCATCTCCGACAATGCAACAGTGCATTGGAGTGTCAGCTTAGACTATGTGATCCCAATGCTCGAAGTGGGGCTTGAACCCACAACCTTCTGACTCAGAGACGAGAGTGCTACCACTGAGCCAGGCTGACACACTTGTTTATTATTTCTCCCCCTTACATACCAAACCCCTCATAATTTTAAAGACCTCTATCAGGTCTCCCCTCAACCTTTCTCTATTCCAATGAAAATAGGGCCAGCGCCTCCAATCTCTGTTTATAGGTCAACATAAAAAAAACTTTCATCAGAGATCTGGGGAAACAAGAAATTGCACTTTGAAACATTGAACCCATTTATCTCAAAAGTGTTGATAGTTAGTAAACGGGAGTTTACAGAGTTGTTTGCATTAACTAGGATTATTCCCATAGCAAACATCAGTTTATTTTTTAAATGGTATGTGAGCGTTTAGCAGACTAGGACATTAAACTAGTGTGACCAGGAAACAATGTTTAATCTCGATGTGATCTTGGTTTGACAGACGACCATGACTTTAAACGTCACTAGACGGCGCAGCAGCGGAACGCTGGCTCAGCAACGCTGGAGTATTGCTGCGGACGGCAATCAGATATGGAGAGGGAGCTCGCACTTGGTGCGATCAAAATCCTGCCTGGATCCCAGGGCGCCCTACAGAGGGAGCTGGTCCTCTGAATCCTCCGATTCCGTCATTTCCATCGATTCCGGGAATAACCTGTACAGAGTGGTCCTGATGGGGGAGACTGGAGTTGGGAAATCCACCCTGGCTAGTATATTTGCTGGTGTACAAGATAATCTGGAGAACTGTGACATTTTAGGAGGTACGGATTTAGCACTAATGTTGCAAAAACATTTATTTTTCCATTATGGAGCCAAACTGGACCATTAGCTCAGTCACACTGAAGGAAGTTACTGTACAATCACCTGTCAATATGTGTTCCTGTTAAGAAAATGCATTTGTTGCTTTTTTGGCAGCTCTCAAGCAATTAGCTTGATAAGGTGTCCAGACCCTAAAGACAATATTCTCATTTGGATGGAGAGACTAATGATACCATAGTATAAAAAAATTTGGAATTTTTTTTTTGGTCAGTCAAGTGTCTGACACAAGCGGAAACCCAATCACCATGTTTGCGAGTAACCCAAACCAAACTGCGTTCCATAATAATAATAATCCTTGCATTTGATATAGCGCCTTATCATATCTTCGAGACGTCTCACAGTGCTTCACAGAATATACTGTAAAGTGAATTGACTTTATATTTTGAGAGCGAAACCCGGCAGCCAATTAATTACAAACAGCAGTGTCCCACAAACAGACATGGATTGAGTTTAGCAAATTATTATTATTTTACTTATTTATTTTTGTAGGGATTATTACCCCAGAAAAGCGAGCCACCAATTGACTAACAACTGGGCTCCTACTTACTGCTAGGTAAACAGAGGGGTGTGGAGTGAGGAAACCTGCCTAACATTTTGCCCTGCCCGGGAATTGAAACCAGGTCCTCTTGCTTGCGAAGCGATTGCTCTGATCAATACGCTACAGGTCTACACATGCATGTTACCATGCATGGAAATTCTTGTGTCTTGGAATGGAATGCAGCCTCTCCCTGGAGGGATGCATCCAGAGAGAAATAGGCTATTGGAGTCAATTCATCAAAAAGGAAGATTTTGATGCTTACATTCCTCCTGGATTGCAGACACTAGTTGGTCATTTGACATCCAACAAATGCGGGTATGATCCTTACCAGGTGGGTGGTACGCAGCAGGAAATTCCCAGCGAGCTTTCTGGTGGACAACACAGCTCAGCATGTAATACATGAAAGCATTACCACCACAATCCTGGCCATAGCTCAGATACACATCCCTTCCCATTGAGTGATGGTTCCACCAGTTGGAGGTGCAGAGCTTGAGCAGGTCATTCAAGGTGGATTTCAAACCCTGGATGTATGAACTTGCATTCGTGAACTCGGACTCCAGGTAACACCTTCCAGCAACTGTCCCCCAAGCCTCGGAGTTTCCTCCTCAGCTTTATGACAGAATAAATTATTGTATTTATATAGCAGCTTTCACATTAAATAAATGTCTCAAAGCTGTTTACAAAATAATAATGATTTAGCAGTGAATCTAAATGTTGATATCTTGGCAAACACAATCACTAATTTTTGCCAGCAATATCCCATGAACAATGCTTAGATGTATAGCTAATTATTCAGAATTTGGGGGGAAATTTAGATGGTGGAAGAGGATATAAGCCAGGATAACTTGTAGAAAGACTCAATGTTTCTTTGGTCATTTAATTTATAGCTATTTGTGGAACAAATTGGCTGCCACATTTGCCTACAAAATACATAGTCACTACACTTTACAGTAAAGCAATGTATTGACAAAATAAGGTGCTATATCAAATGCAATTTTCATGTTTTTCTAAAAAAAGTAATATCTTATTGCTGAACAGATCTCTTAAACCAGATATATGAGCCCAGAGTGGAGATAGTTTGCTTGCGATTTGCTTGCAATATTGCCATTTGTTTCACCAGCAGAAACATGTCATTGATTCTGTGCACTTATGTTCTGGGGAGAATGACCTCACTATAGCTTAGTTAGCTTGTGCTGTGCAGCTGCACTTCAAAACTTTCCAAAGAAACCTGACTGATAAACAAAAACATATTTATTATATTTTATGAGCCAGAATCCTGTGGAAAATTTCTGTTCCAGCTACATTGCAACTGCTGCCCAGAGTGATCTCATCATAACCAGAACTGTGGAGTCCTGTAGCTCAATGGTTAGAGCATTCGCCTCGCAAGTGAGGGACTTGAGTTTGATTCCCGGCAGGGCGAAACGTTGGGCAAGCTTCCTTACTCAACACGCCTCTGTTTACCTAGCTGTAGTAGTAACCTGGTTGTTGAATAATTCCTTCCCCCCCCAAATAATAATAGTAATAATAATAATAATTTGGTCACTTCAATCCACGACTGTTTGTGGGACACTGCTGTGCGCAATTGGCTGCCGCATTTCGCCTACAAAGTATACAGTCAGTTCACTTTACAGTATACTCTGTGAAGCGCTTGGTGACGTGATAAGGCGCTACATCAAATGCAAGGATTATTATTATTATTAATACACTGCACAAAGGAGCAGCAAGCACACCCCTGTTTGAGGGAGGGGAAACACTGCTTTGTTACCAACAGGGTTTCTAACCATCAGGACAACGCATTCATGTGGCAGAATATTTCATGAATAAAGCATTAACTTTGATAGTTAGATAATATAGAGATTCTCTCCAATAAGATGCACAACGTTGAAGAAATCTAACAACCACATATCTTTGGAGTTTGAGATATTTTGACTTTGTGTTAAGGGGCTGTAATCAAATGTAAGGATTTTAGTGTTATAAGATTAGTTCAAAGCATTCCGTTAGGTTTTCAGAGTTTTGCTGTGATTTTGACTTTCTGCCATTTCAATCAGGCCCACTTACCAAATAAGGTCACTTTCTACAAAATAAAGTCGCTACACTTGACAATAGTGAATGCAAAGCACTATGAGACTTTTTCATCATATAAGACACTATAAAAATGCAATTTTTTTCCTTCCTTCCAAATTGTTTACTTTACTCAGTTTTATATTAGCTTTCAGTGTTGATGCAATATGTAAAAGACAGGGAACATTTTTGCATAATCTCTAATTATTTTCTTAGGTGTAACATAGAAAGTGGAGCTTCTCATGGTGTTCTGGCCACCAATCACCAAATCAAATGGTCATTTAGTTCATGGCTTTTTGTGGCCAAATTAGTTGCTATTTTTACCTACAAATTATAGTCACAATAATAATATAATTATAATCCTTACATTTAACCATACTTAATAATAACTCAATATAACTCCTTTCACATCAGGAAATTGTCCTAAAGTGTTTCACAGAATGTACTATAAAGTGTAGTGGCTGTGTATTTTGTGCAAGTGCACTACACTTTATAGTAAAATCCTGTGATGTGCTTTCCAGACATTGTCCCAATGAGAGAGATTCTACATCAAATTCAAGGATTATTATTACTGTAATATTCCTCCCTTATCAAATGCAAGGATTATTATTATTATTATAATTTTCGTCTACCTCGTTTCCTCTGAAAGTGCTGGTGGGCGAAAAACAAATCAAAACAAACCATGGAAGTGATTTCTGCAATGCAACTTCTGTCTCAGCTGAAAACTATTTTAAAGAACTTTAACAGTCGTCAGAGCTTTCTATTTGTTTGGTCAGTTGGATGTCTGACACTTGCAGAAACCCATCATCACGAGTACCCAAACTGTGGGAAGCCCCAATGGTGTAACGCATACAACTGTAGCTTATAGACCAGTAATTCTCTGAATCAATTCCTGCTCTATGCTAAGGGTGTTGGTCTCATGGGGAGGCTAACTTGGCCTTGTCCTTCTTATGGTTAGGGTTAGAGGAAAGCCAGATGGTCCTGATCTCTCTTTAACATCATTTACTGGTTGTGCTCATACTTGACAGCTGGCTAGGGAGAAGTTACATCAGTTGTTTTAAGAAGTTACATCAAATCACACTTGAATGTGTTATTTAAAACAAATTAAGTTTTATATTTTCTACTTTTTTTAAAAATACAACTGATTGAAACAACTTATTCCAGCCTATTGACTGCAACTTTTATGATATCCTTCTACAGTAAATCCTGTGAAGCACTTTGAGACATCTCAATGGCACGAAAAAGTGCAATAGCAAATGCAAGGATTATTATTAATATCTGTTCAGAGGTATAGCTATTTCTGCAACCCTTGAGCCAAAGCTCTAATGGGTAGAATGGTCAAAAGCTATATGTTGTTACCATATTATGTTAACGTTAATAAGCTTTAATCTACTTATTTAATCAAAGATCTTTGTTACTGATTGATTTTAAATCTAACCATCATTAGGGAGCCACTGATTTGAAGAGAGTTTGCAAATAACATACATTCAAAGTTCATTCTTTTTAATAAAAATATTTGGATGCACTGCCAATGGTAGCTTTTGGTCTAGAACTTCCTCACATGCCCTTAGTAACAAATGGGCTCCATCATACTTAGCATCCTTCTATTTGTTAAGATGCACACGTTTTGTGGTGGGCTCATTTGTAACTAGTGCTTTTGTCATTCTTTGTAGAAGATACCTATGAGCGAACAGTCACTGTTGATGGAGAAAGTGCCACCCTTATAGTGATGGACACATGGGAAAATAAGGTACTTCATTTATTTTGTAAACTCTAACGAAAGTTTAAGTGCTAAGTTATGTAGGGTTAATTTCTCTGACCAAGATGCATACTATGTTTGAAAACTAATAACAATAATCCTTGCATTTGATACAGTGCCTTTCACATCGGGAAAGCAATGCAGAGGATTTATTGTGTAGTGCAGTGATTTGTGTATTTGAAGGCGAATGCAGAAGCCAATTTACATACAGCAATATCCCACAAACAGTCATGAAATAAACGACCTTATTTGGATGATTGTTGTCCAGAATACCAGGAGAAACTCCCTTCTCTTTTCGAGTAGTATCATGGGATCTTTATCATCCACATGAACAGGAACATGGTTTGATATCTCATCCAAAAGGAGCACATCCAACAATGCAGTGCACCCCCCAGCATTGCTTTGAAATGTCAATCCAGACTATTAATTCAAATTGGGGCGACTTGGAATAAACATGCTCAAATCTGCTTTAAATACCAGTTATAGATCTATTAAACACCTTTTGAGCAGCTCTAATTATATCTGCATGGATGCCGAGAGTTTCTGACCTGTTCTGGTGAGGTACTTGTGTGATCTCACTGGGCACAAGACAACTGGCATATTTGCCTATAAATGCACAATTACTTAATTTGATTGTTTTACCTTTGAAGCACTTTGAGATGTTTCACATGATCTGACACTCGATCAAATTTAAAGACACTCTTATTTACTTGGTAAATATTGCACCATCTCCATCAAAGATTGCTGTAAAACTAGGAGCCAAGAGTTCAGGGTAGAATGGCCTTTAACGGGGGACAGTTACTGTTCTGAACATTACATCTGATAAAACTACCCATCCTTAAGTTTATCAAGGTTCTCACTCAGTCTTTTTTCCCCTTCTCTCCCCCATAAGGATGAAGATAACTGGATTCAGGATCACTGCATGCAGATAGGAGATGCGTACCTCATTGTTTACTCCATCACTGACAGAGCAAGCTTTGAAAAAGCCTCCGAGCTCCGCATACAGCTCCGAAGAAGGCGTCAGGCTGAGGATATTCCGATTATTTTAGTGGGCAATAAGAGTGACCTTGTACGGTGTCGAGAAGTGTCTGTGGCAGGTACGTTCTATGGCTTGGATGTGCTTTTAGTTTATTATGTCCCAGAGAGGATCGATTTCAGGATCCTCACCCTTGTCTTCAAATCCCTCCACTCCTCTGCACCCCCTACCTCTCTGACCTCCTCTCTCCTCAAAACGGTGCCCGTTGCCTTCGTTCCTCCGGGTCTGGCCTCCGCCTCGTGCCCTGAGTCCTCCACTCCACCCTCGGTGGTCGTGCCTTCAGCCACTATGCCCCGAGGCTCTGGAACTCCCTTCCTCACTCCCTTTGCCTCACCCCTCTTCGTATTTTCAGGTCTCTGCTGAATGCCTTTCTTTTCGACCGCGCCTTTGGTCACCCTCCTCCCCTTCCCCCTGGCTCAGTCCTGGGATCCGTTACTGTGAAGCGCTCTGAGGAGGGCGCTATATAAATCCCAATTGTTGTTGTTGTTATTACGTAGTTTGAACGCTGGAAGTTGTAATTCAAAATCAATGTTTCTGATCCAGAGTCTGAAAATTTGAGTATTCTGAAATAAGCGGGAAAACCTTGAATCTCATATGTTCATCCTGTCTGGACTGTTATTAATACCAAAAGGTCACAGATAAAGGCTCCGAACAGTCACTAGTCATCAGGAAATCTGCTGCAGTGTAGTCGTCCCTATCCAAACTTCTCATGTCAGTGCACTTTCCCTTTCCCTAAGAGGAACGAAACATTAGGTTTGTTTAGATAGAGGTGCTGCCATTTGCATGATATGCCTCCAGGTTCCTGGCGTGACATGATAGTCAATAACTTTTACACCTCTCCTGCCACCACACTATTCTTGGTTTGGAACAGTTCTTCAAAAGAAAATTGCACATCTATTATCTATATTCTCGACAACAAAATAGCTCTAGTTCTTAAACCTTCATGGTCTGTATATTTCATAGGTGTGCTGCCTTTTGGATGAGACATTAAATCAAGCTTGTGTCTGTCTACCATAAATATAACTAAAAGTACATCTATTAGATCTATCTTCTTCATGTAGAGCGTGATGAAAATGTGGACTTCACCACTGGAAGCTTTGATTGAAGCAACCAGCTTTGGCTTATTTAAGAGAGAACTTGATACCTATTTGAGGGAGAAGGGAATAGCAGGAAGAGAGGAGACTCAGAGAGGTGAAGACTCGTGTGGCATATAAACACTGGTAAAATTAGAGCAGAATGGCCTGTTTCTGTGCTCTATCGTTCTATGTAATTCTATTTTCAAAGGTTTTTAAATGAAAAATCAGCACTTCTCTTTTCAATGGCTTTGCAATCTATTTTACAAAAGTGTCTGCTTGGCTTAGTTGGTAGCACTCTCACCTCTGAGTCCAGGTTGGGACTTTGAGCTCATGGGCAGACACAGCAGAACAATGCTCGGAGATAGCTCTTCCTTTATTGGAGGTGCCGTCCTTTATCTGTTCAGGTAGATGTTTTTAGAGAATGGTGTCCTGGTCAACAATCACCCAGATTAACAAGTTGGGCTGTGCACAAATTGGCTGCCGGGTTCGCCCACAAATACAGTTACTGCACTTTGGAGAAAACTCTGTGAAACACTTTGAGGCATTTCAGTGCGATTAGGTGCTATATCAAATACAAGGATTATTATTAAAGTGTTTTTCCTTTGGTAGAGGGCAGAGCCTGTGCTGTCGTTTTTGACTGCAAGTTCATCGAGACCTCCGCCGCTGTCCAGCACAACGTACAGGAACTCTTTGAAGGAATTGTGCGGCAGGTGCGGCTCAGGAGAGACAGCAAGGAAGTGAACGAACGGAGAATGGCTCAGTACAAACGGAGAGAAAGCTTGCCCAAGAAAGCCAGGCGATTTTTGGATAAACTCGTTGCAAAGAAGAACAAGAAGATGGCTTATAAAGTCAGATCAAAATCCTGCCACGACCTTTCCGTACTCTAAGAACTGTAGATCGCCAGACAAACTGTTAAATTATCAGACTTTTTTTATTACACTGAGACTTGGGTTAAACAATCTATATTAGATTGCTATGTATTGATCACAATTGGTTTACAAAAGTGTTCAACCTGGGAGTAGCACAACTCTCTTCGTCAGTGAATTACTCCAGTTATTTGTCAGTGAAGAAACTTTATTATGACTCACTGGCACAGCTATTAATGTGAGGGCTGGTTTAGAGTTGCATTTTCCAGAGATGTGTGCAGGAAGAGGGTGTCAATTCTAAAGTTAAAGGGTTTTCCCAACTTATGATGATCATATCATAAAGAAAATGATTCATTACTCTTAAGACACGAAACAGTGATTTAAAGGGACTGGGTGAATGCATGGCATCCAGTCACTGCTTGAGCAGCGCCAGATTCTGATAGCCACATATGTTTAAGATCAAATGCACTGGCATCTGTTTGTGTGTGTGTGTGTGAGAGAGAGAGAGAGAGAGAGAGTGCTCATAATGTTCTAACATTTTGTTTGTTCAAACAATAGATGTCACAACAGCTTCAAACAGTGAACTGTGCTGTCACGTGTGAATGCAATTTTTTATCGAGCATCAATGTATTTAATAGAAAGCTTGATGTAGAAGGGAACAGCGATTTTAGCAGTATAAACACCAGCACAGACCAATTGGGCCGAATGGCTTATTTACATGCATCTCACCCTTTTTAACTATTATTACTTCATTTTAAAAATGTCACTAACTGATGCCTTTAAAAGTCACACACCAATGCACAAGGCTGAAGATTTACTGTTGGTACTCTCTAAGGTGCCTCAGGTGAAAATGTTAAAATGGAAATTGGTGTTCTTAATACATGTGCTTGTTTGAGTTCTGTCATGCCATTCACATGGTCTAGGTTCTTTGGCTGAAAATGTCTTGTTTTTCATCACATAGAGTTTTATATATGTATGCACTATACACCGAAGCTCACTTAGTCAGGGGTTTGTTCCGAGCTCTGTAACTTTGTTGGTCTGTAAGTAACCACTGGGCATGGCAACTAGTACGCAATGCCTACAGTTGCTGGGCGGACTAAAATTTGGAACTTAGTATGAGGAATTGGAGGGGTAGGAACGGAGGACATGATGAAACTGCTTTCTTCATTGTGTCCCTGACCCAACTAACTGCCAATAAAATGGATGCAGACATCTGTATGCATTCAGGCGTTTCCACATACATTTATGGTCCTTGTAACTCTATGCAGCCCTTCAATATTAATATTGAGCAAGACATTCCTGAAGTCTTTCTTAATTGAATGAATTGTATCTTTTAATTAACTCTACTTTTTCATGACATGACTAAATATTTCTCTATTTTTTCCAGACAGATTCTGTGTATTTATTATGAATTTTTTTTAACAAAATGTTTGTATAACTTTGTATTTATTTTGTAGGTTTCTACTTAGAATATTCGACTTTCAAGCAAAATAATGTAGTTTATTAATTGGTTAATGAAACATTAAATGGTAGTATCCTCAGTATTTTATTTGTGTTTTGTATTTTGAACAAGTTTTAAAAAAAATTCTGATGGTGTGACTCTCTGAGGATTTGTGGGAACCAATGATTTGGAGTTTTGAGATGTTGGGGGTTGATTTGTGGTGTTTCTGAATGAAATTATTTAATAGGGAACAAATTCCAGTTGACCCAGATATTTCTCTGGAAATAGATCATGGTCCTGAAGTTCTCTTGGGTCAGTTTGACATGGAGTCCAGTAGTATAGTGGTTAGAGCCCTCGCCTCGCAAGTGAGAGGACCTAGGTTTGATTCCCAGGTGGGGCAAAACCTTAGGCAAGTTTCCTTATTCCACACGCCTGTTTACCTAAGCAGTTAGTAGGAACCTGGTTATTAATCGATTGGCAGATTGCTTTCAGGGGTAATAATTCCTCCAAAAAAATAAAAATGTTGGTCATTCAATTCACGACTCTTTGTGGGATACTGCTGTGCGCAATTGGCTGCCGTGTTTTGCCCACAAAATATACAGTCAATACCCAAAATACAGTCACTTTACAATATATTTTGTGAAGTGCTTTGAGATGTTTCAACGACGTGAAAGGGTATTATATCAAATGCAAGGATTATTATTTTTCCAGTTATTGGATGGAACTCCCATTGCATGACTTGGATTTTGTCTTAAGGAATGTCAAATGAGAAATGCTGCAAATTAGACCCCAGAATTGACGAGCACCTAATCATTTCTGTCTAATCGTAGTAATAGATTAACCCTCTGCTTCCCGCTCCAGGCATAAGTAATCACCAGAAATATTCTCAATGTGGTCACAGATCACTTCCAGCCATGGGAAGTATTTAGTTTGAATTTATTTTATTTTTTATCGCTATTAACAATTCTACATTGTTGGACGTGCCGCTTTTTGGATGAGACTCATCCCTGTTTATGTGGACATTAAAGTCCTATTCAAAAAGAGGATGGAGTTTCTACTAGGGTCCTGACTATTAATCCTCCAGACAAAATTGTTCATTCCTTTCATGGCTGTTTGTGGGACATTGCTGTATGTAAATTGACTGCCACATTTGCCTACAAAATGCACAGTCACTACACAGTACAGTAAATGCCGTGAAGTGCTTTGAGGCATCCTTCAGATCTGAAAGATGCTATAATAAATACAATGATTATTACAATATGATTTTCTCCAATATCTAAAATATCAGTTTCGATATAGTCCAATTTGCCTTGCAAATTATAAATTCTATTAACTTCATAACTAATTCAATTGTCACATGAATTTGAAAAAGTGAAGTACAAATCTGCTCTTGAGTGAACATGAAAGGCTTGTCACTGAAATTAGTTCCTTGTTATTTAGATCAGCTTTCAAATGGCTTTTTCCAAAGATTAATAGAAAACTAAATTCTTCCATGATATTTGCTGCCTGTGAGTCCTGTTTTTAATTAATGTTTTGGATTTGTTTGTCACATTTTAAAACTTGCTATGAATGTTGAGATATTCAGCAGGACTTTTTTTTATGCTTGTACTTTAAACATTATTCTTCATGTAACATCATACAAGTATTTAATAAACTTTTTTTTACAGAATAGTACACTTCTGTTGATTTTGTTGTACAATAAATAATGTTTATGCAAATGTATTTTGCAAAGGTGTTTGGCAATGAGGAGTCAAAATTTGAAAAGAGAAGGGAGTTTCTCCCATAGTCCTGGCGAACAATTCCCCCAAATTTAAATCGGTAGCTCACTCTATGGCTGTTTGTGGGACACTGCTATGTGCAACTGGCTGCCTCGTTTCACCCACAAAATGCACCGCCAATCCACTTTACAGTATATCCTGTGAAGCGCTTTGAGACGTCTTAATGACGTGATAAGGCGCTATGTAAAATATGAGGATTATTTATTTATTATAAAATGAGTCTGACTTCAGTTGTATATCAGAAATAGCTGATCCCCTGTATGAAGGGTTAATGGAGCAGCTGGCTTAAACTGCAACAGAAGCATGTTCTAGATGGAAAGGCCTTCCTCCCCTGACTGCCAACAAAGTGACAGGCATCGGATGTTTTCTTTACATTTTACACAACATGACTTTCGGTTCAATCTGTCATTTTTATTGCTTGTGTACCCTACCGACAATCATGAGGCATCAGGAACTGAGAAAATTGGAGGGAAAATTTAATTTTGAAACAATCTGCGATGAAGGAATAATAATAATAATAATCCTTGCATTTGATATAGCGCTTTTCACGTCAGGAGGACGTCCCAAAGCACTTCACAGAACACACTGTAAAGTGAATTGACTGTATATTTGTGGGCGAACGCGGCAGCCAATTGCGCACAGCAATGTCCCACAAACAGTCGTAGATTGAAAATGACCAATTTAATTATTGTTTTTGGTTTTGGAGGGATTATTATTAGGCGTGTGGAGTAAGGAAACTTGCCCAAGGTTTCGCCCTGCCTGGAATTGAACTCAGGTCTCTCACTTGCAAAGCGAGTGGTCTAACCACTGAGCTACAGGACTCCACGGAATAAACTGGTGGAACATAGGATAGGAGTAGCCTATTCCGCCAATCTATAAGATCATGGCTGAACTGTACTTCAACTCCAATTACCTACCCATGCCCCATATCCCCAACAAATATCTATCCACCTCAGTCCTGAAAATCTGAATGGATTTCTGTGGACAGAGTGACCCCTTCCTGTTCCTCTGTACTATCTCTTAATGGAGCAGGTGGTAAAGAATGATGTATCCATAACTGGCTAGGGTTTTCTTTGACAGTTTCTGTGAACAAAATGTCTTTGGATTGCTTTCTAACCGATTTAGCTCTCATAAAGATCTTGCTGACTTGATAATTCACTTCCTTATTTTAAACATCGTGAATCACATCACCTTTTAACCTATTCAGTTCTGGGTAATCTGACACAAGTTTACTTACAAGCAAAATGCAAAATACTGCAGAAGTTGGAAATCTGAAACAAAAACGGAAGTTGCTGGGAACACTCAGGGTCATGGACTCAAAACGTTGCCTCACAATCCTTTCTCCATAGATGCTGCCTGACCTGCTGAGTGTTCCCGGTGACTTCTGTTTTTGTTTCAAGTTTGCTTTGCCTTTTATAGCTAAACGCCCTTCATCCTGGGTAAATTGATGCTGGATGCCCTCCAGAGCTAGTATTTAAATGTAGTTCTCAAGGAGAGGATGATTTTAAGCTCATAATGTGCTTTTCTCAATTTGTTGTTAATTCTGCTTTCACCTACTTGGCAAATTGCAATTGACAAAATGTAAACTTCTACCTTAAATGCACTTAAAGGCTGTTCATTGACTTTAATTGCCACTTTGAGGATTGGTCAAAATTGGCAACTGTGTCTGCTGTCCTCTCTTACTCAGTTGTTAAAGCTTCAGATATCTGATTTGCTGTCCATCTAGAGTTTATGGCCTCCATCCACTTTTGACTGATGCCTTTAACCACCTGAAAACCTATTGCAAAACAACAATTATAATGTCTGCACCACCATCGTACTACCTCGAGAGTATTTCATTGGTATCTTGGAGTCCTGTAGCTCAGTGGTTAGGGCACTCGCTTTGCAAGCGAGAGACCTGAGTTCAATTCCAGGCAGGGCGAAACCTTGGGCAAGTTTCTTTACTTCCACACGCCTAATAATAATCCCTCCAAAAAGGAAAACAATAATAAATTGGTCATTTTCAATCCATGACTGTTTGTGGGACGCTGCTGTGCGCAATTGGCTGCCGCGTTCGTCCACAAATATACAGTCAATTCACTTTACAGTATATTCTGTGAAGCGCTTTGGGACATCTAGAAGACATGAAAAGCGCTATATCAAATGAAGGATTATTATTATTATCTTGAAAGGAATAAGGTTTATAATAATAAATAATCTTTGAATTTAATATAGTGCTTTTCATGTCTTCGAGATGTCTCAAAACACTTCACGCAATATACTGTGAGTTCCCTGCCCAACAATCTGCAGATGAAATTGATCATTCACTTTATGCACCAACTGGCTGCTGCATTTGTCTACAAAATACACAATCACTGCACCTTTCAGTAAATCCTGTGAAGCTCAATGAGATGTCTATTCCTGACATGAAAGGTGCTATGTTACATGCAAGGATTATTATTACAATAGATAAATTTTGTTACTATTTGTTTTCCTGTTTTTGCTGCTCAGCCTATACCCTCTCAATGAGCTAACTGATATGATCAGTTGTTAATATTCTTCTTTTCACTCCTTAAATCTTTTAAACATTAATTTTTCTCTTCTTGTATTGTTTTCCCATTTTATTTTATCATTTTTCACATATTGGGGGAAGAAATGTGGTATGTGGTATGGCCACATGAAACTGACCATCTGCTCCCTCATCCCCATTTCTACCCCTCTCCTTACCTCCCAGCTCCTCCTCCTTGCTCCTCTACTCACAGACACCAAAAACCTCTCCCTGCCCACTGGTAAAGTTCCCACCCCTTTAACAACGGCCGTCATCACTCCTATCCTTTGAAAAAAACCTGGACCCATCCCTGCTCTCAAATTACCGCCCTATCTCCAACTTCCCTTTCCTCTCCAAGGTCCTGGAACGAGTCATTGTTTCCCAGCTTTGCTCCTTCCTCTCCCGCCACAACCTTCACGAACCCCTCCAATCGGGTTTCCGTGCCGCCCAAGCACAGAAACAGCCCTCATCAAAGTGACAAATGACATTCTGTCCACCTGTGACCCGGGCTCCCTCTGCCTCCTCGTCCTCCTTGATCTCTCTGCTGCTTTCGACGCCGCCTTCTGCTACTCTGCCCTCATCCTCATCCACCACTTTTCCGCTCACCTAAACCTTCATGGCCAGTCCGGAACCTTGGCATCTTGTTTGACCCTCAACTATCCTTTCTACCCCAAATCTGTGCCATTACTCGCTGTGCCTTCCCGCACCTCCACAACGTTGCCCGGATCCGCCGCTATCTCACACTGCAGGCCGCCGAAACCCTCATACACACATTCATAACATCGAGGCTCAACTATGCAAACTCCTTG